CCCGTGCCCGGCCCGGTTCGGGCCCGCTCCGGCCCCGCTCGCTCCGGGCCCCGTGCCCGGCCCGGTTCGGGCCCGCTCCGGCCCCGCTCGCTCCGGGCCCGCCCGGGACTCACCTGGCACCGCCGGTCCGCCGCTCAAAGCCTTCCCCGCCGCTCCGCGCCGCAAACGCCAGCGGGCCCGGAACGTCTCGCGCACGGCGCCGCGCCCCCATCGGTCTCCTGTTCCGGGACACCGACGCGCGGCGCCGCCAGGGGGCGCTGTCGCCCGCGGCAGGGCGCGAGCCCGGGGGTTGGGGGGGTCCTACCGTATTTACCAGAGCGCGGCGCCGCCTGTGCGTGCCGTACTTACTGTGGTTAACCCGCACCCCTGAGAATAGCTACTGTTTTCAATTCACGTTAAATATTTTATTCAGGGAAGCTCCCAGAGCGGAATTTTGGCCGCGGCAGCGCTGGCCGCCGCTCGCTTTTGGCCGTGGTCAGGTGCCCTCAGCCAGCAGCACCCGCGGTGCCCGCTCAGCCCAGCTGTGGCCGCCGCCCTCGCCGCTCTGCCCCGCCGGGAGCGGCTGCTTTGCCGCCGTCCGTGTCCCGTCCCGGGCTCCGTGTCCGCCGCCCCTGCCGGGTCTGTGTCCCGTTCGGGCTCCGTGTCCGCCCCTCCCGGGTCCGTGTCCCGTCCCGGGCTCCGTGTCCGCCGCCCCTCCCGGGTCCGTGTCCCGTTCCGGGCTCCGTGTCCCCCGCCCCTGCCGGGCCCGTGTCCCGTTGGGGCTCCGTGTCCCCCGCCCCTCCCGGGTCCGTGTCCCGTTCGGGCTCCGTGTCCCCCGCCCCTGCCGGGCCCGTGTCCCGTTGGGGCTCCGTGTCTCCTCCCGCCGCCCAGGGGAGGAGCGGAGCGGGCCGAGGTGGCCGCGCTGTCCCGCCCCGCCCCGGCAGGTGAGGCGCGGGCGGTCGGCAGGTGCGGCCCCGCTCGGCTCCGTTCCCGCTCCCGCTCCCGTTCCCGTTCCCGCTGCCGCGACCCGGCCATGGCGTACCGGGAGCTGGTGCGGCGCTGGCACGAGGCCGTGCGGGCGGCGGACCGCGGGCACTGGGACGCTGCCCTGGACGCCTTCGGCGGCATCGCGGAGCCTCCGGCCAGGATCTGCTTCAACGTGGGCTGCGTGCAGCTGCTGGCCGGGCGGCCCGAGGCGGCCCTGAGGGTGAGCCGGGCGCGGGGGGATCCCGGGCGCGGGGGGATCCCGGGCGCGGGGGGATCCCGGGAGCGGGGGGATCCCGGGCGCGGGGGGATCCCGGGAGCGGGGGGATCCCGGGCGCGGGGGGATCCCGGGCGCGGGGGGATCCCGGGAGCGGGGGGATCCCGGGAGCGGGGGGATCCCGGGCGCGGGGGGATCGCGGGAGCGGGGGGATCCCGGGCGCGGGCGGCTCGGCTCCCCCGGGTCCGTCTCGGAGGGAATGATGCTGAAACTCGATCTGGAATCCGGCGTTTCGTGTCCGGCGGGAATGCGAGCCGGGATGTTGAAGGGTGAACGGTCGGCGGAAAAGGTTTAGCAGAGTGAATCTCAGAAAAGTGAAAAAGGTGGAAGTTAAAAAGGCGGGTGTGACTGTCGAGGACAGGGTTCAGTGGTGAGCTCAGTGATGCCTGGTTCACAGTTGGACTCGATCTTTGAGACCTTTTCCAGCCTTAATGATTCTGTGATTCCATGGTTCTCTAAATACTATGGAAATCCAGATCAGTGGGCAGAATCATTTTGAAACAAGATAATAGAGAGTACTTAAATTAGATACTGGAAACTGCATCTGGCAATATACCTTAAGTTTTGTTAAAGCTAAATCAGTTAAAATCCTGTCCTGTAGGTGAACTTAGCTCATTATCATATGACAAGCCACACCTCTAAAGCTCAGCCTGCCTGATTCCAAGAGGAGACCTCAACCCACTGGACACGCACACTTGTTGTAGCTTTAAATCAAAGCAGGAAAAAGATTGTCCAATAGTTGTTCTGTGGGTGTGGGTTTAGACACGAGATGGGTGTATTTTAAAAGTACAAGTACGTTATTTGGCAGTGGAGACTGCCAGAACAAAGCTGCTGTGCCAGAAAACCACTGTCCTTGGGAAGGGAGAGGAGGTGCCCTGAGGAAAAGTCTTTTTTGTGACAGCACCTGGTGTGTCTGCACATCCATCCATCCATCCATCCATCCATCCTTGTCCAGGGAGGAGATGCAGATAAACCTTTCCTCAAACAGTGTGAGGAGGAGCTGAGGCTGTGCTGGAGGGGCCGGGGCAGCGCTGTGGAGCCCTGGGCAAGCAGTGGCTGTTTGGGACACAGTGAGCCATAGAGGTAGTGCCATGGGGATGAGAGAAAGAGCTCAGGAGAGATTTCTGAGCCCCAGCCAGGGGCAGTGGCTGGGAAGAAGCTCAGCTCTACTTCCGTGTGGATCAAGGGTTGGTTGTTATTTCAGTTGTGGCCCAGGGAGGCCGACATTCCAGCACGGTGTGGGGTCACAGGGACTCCCCTTCCCCTGCAGTGCTGTCCCAGGGCAGGGAGGGCAGGCAGGGCTGGGCTTTCAGCCCTTGTTATCCCCACGAGGTGTCTGCAGTGGCAAGGGAAGGAGCACACCCCTGATGCTGCCCCAGGAGGACTCCTGGCTCTCCCAGCATGCTGAACCACGAGCTGCCACCACAAGCACTGCCTGGTTTTAGCTGGGGCACTGAAGCAGAACTACTGACTTAGAGGCCATTGTGAGAAGCCCTGCAGCTTCCTCCCTCTCACCTTTCCTCACCTCAGCCTTCCCCAGCCTGGCCAGCCCTGCTGCTCCCACTGGCTTCAGGCTACAGTTTTCCCATTTTAAGAAGCCAGATGGCCAATGCAGCTCATTTATGTCCAGTCCATTGTAGCAAGGAGGGGTAAAAGCCTGAAGCTCAGCTCACACAGAGCCAAGACCTGAAGGATGGCTGGGAGCTGTGTCAGCCCTCAGGCAGGAGCCCAGGGGTTGCCTCTCTGAGGGACATGGCTGGCTGGGCGTGTGTGCCCAGGCACTGACAGGATAGATCCCAGCTGATCTCTGCCTGTGTTTTTCTCCTCAGGCATTCAATAAAACCCTTGAGAAGGACAATTCCCTGGCTGTGGGCTACTTCCAGAGAGGGTTTGTCCACCTGCAGCTGGAAATGTGAGTGAGGTGCACAGCCAGTGCAGTCTTTGGTTCTCTCCTTTCAGTCCTGCTTTACTCCTAAACCTAAATGATTCTTTGATTCCAAAATTCACTTCTTCCAGCAACCTTACAGGGTTCACAGGGTCTGCTTTAGCCTTGTCACAGGTCAACAAGTCTTGTCTCCATAAGAGCTGCACAACTCTGGGGCTCCAGGGGTGGCTGACACTTGACATTGCTGTCCCTACACACAGAGACCCGTGAATGCAAGGCTGCCACAATGTTATGTTGCCATTCAGATTTTCTCTGGAAATTAAAAAAATATAATTGTGCTGCTTGGTATGTCTTTACACGACACACATGAGTCTAGCCTTCCTAAAAATGCAGCCTGCACACTCTCCTGCCAGCAGACTTCAGGGGCCTGATCTCAGTCTCACTGACAATATACTGAGGTTGCTCTAGAAGTGTCATGGGATTGATTACTCATTGTTTCCACAGCTAAATCACAGTGACATCCTCCTCAGGGAGCTGGGTGAAGTATTTTACAGATCTTGTCTTACCTTTGAGCTCAGTTGTTGTCTTTCCTGTTGATTTCCCCATACTTCCCAGACCTTAATCTCCACAAAAAGTCTGTCTTTATTTCTGTAAGGGAGTTAAAGTGAGCAGTTCTGGCTTCTCCAGGAGAGGGGCTGTGCCTGGGGTTGGTGGAGCCCCAGGCAGGGCTCTCTGGAGCTGCTCCAGCAGCAGCAGAAGCAAACGTGCCCCAAGCACAGCCACTGCAGGGGCAGCACAGCTGGCAGCTGCCTCCTGCCCAAAGAGCTGATGGCCTCCAGCCTCCAGGGCTCTCTCCTTCATCAGAAGCTGCTCCTGCCCCTCAACACCCACCTGGGCACCTTCTCTTGGTCAGGTGCCCACTGCACAGCCATTCCTGGGCCCTTCCTTTCACTGCCTGCAGCCTCAGTGGGCACCTGCTTGGATTTCAGTTGCATAGCTGGTGTAAATTCAGACTAATACCCTCCTTATCCACAGAGGTTCTCTAAATTTCTAAATGTTGAGGTTCTAAATTTCGAGTTTCTCAATTTTGATGCTCTGGCCATGTGTGTGCCCTCTCTGGTCCCCATCAGTCAGGTTCCCAGGCCTCAATGTTCTTGGGACACGTGCTGGGACAGGCAGGGAGCTCCCAGCAGTGGGTAACCTTGGTTCTTTGTAACACATCTCAGGTGCAGCTCTCCTTGCACAGGCTGCAGAGCAGAACACATGTTATTTGCTAGTGTGATTTTCAAGCTTTTTAAACAGTGTCTAGTTTTAGGCTCAGTTTCTTGTGTCACCTCTGCATTGCAGGTATGAAGAAGCTCTCTCTGACTATCACATGGCCTTCAGTCACCTAAGAGAAAATCCCTTCATTGATTACAAGCAGCTGGGGCTGAGGCACATCCTCTATGCCTGGGAGGTGAGAGTCAGCCTGGCTCAGCAATCCTTCCCCACTCTTGGGGGGTGTCAGTAGCAGGGATTAGTGACCTAAGACTTTTCGAAGAAAGTACATGAGAACTGTAAAAAATATTCTGCTTGCACTTTTTAAAAAGTAACTTAATCATAAAAGTTGTAAACCAACATCATCTCTGGAAAGTTTAGCAAATTATGCAGTTTGAAAAGTAAAATTGTTCAGAGCAGGTGCACAGGAATTTCTGTATTGAAGGGTTTTTATTTTCTCTATATGTAGACAAAGTGGTGGCTGCCCCATCCCTGGAAGTGTCCAAGGCCAGGCTGGACAGGGCTTGGAGCAACCTGGTCCATGGCAGGGGTGGAACTGGGAGCTTTAAGGTCCTTCCCAACCCAAACCAGTCTGGGATTCTGTGTAATATGTACACTTGGATGTAAACACACATGGAAGTTTAGTGAACTCCTTAGCTCTCAGACATGTTGACAGATGAGAACAGAGCTGATGCAAAATGTAGGCTGTAGGAAAGTCAGGTGCATGAAAGCCTCTTTCCAGCTGCAGCAACTGATCTTAATATTCCCTCTGTGCCTGAACTCACACCCCATGCTCAGGCTGTGTTTGTAATTCTTCCTCCTGCACCTCTTACTGTCACACAGAGCCAACCTGCCACATCCTGTTCAAGAAAGCTCAAAGGCTGAACTGATTGTATATTTTTGCAATATTTGGACATATGTAAAGGATTCCTAGAAACTGTCCTTTACTGGAAGGGTTCATTTTGTTTTCTCTGAGTCCACATGCACAGATTGAAAAGCAGATACAGGAAAGAGGATTTAACTCCTTACTTCCGTGAGAGTGAGGAGTCATTGTGTAACTCCAGCCAAGCACCTCAGCCCTTTTCATGCACCTTATACCTGGCAGGAGGAAGCTATCCTTGGCATCTGTGGTATTACCCAACCTCCCTGGCTTTAACAGCTTCAGTGCCACGGCACTGCCTTCTCTTGAAAATGAGCAGTTCCCTGGGAAAGGGGCAGGGCTCAGGAGTGTCCCTCCCCTGGTGGGGCCCTTCCTGGTGTGGACACACAACCCATTACTCCAGGCATCACCGGGACATGTGCTGGCCCTCCAGACTTGGGATCAACATCCTGATTCAGCTGGAGCTCATTCTTACCTGGAGCTCATTTTCCAAAATACACAAACAACATCTTGCAGCAGAATTGTGCCATCAGCTTTCCCCATGCATGGCCTCTCATGTGCTGCAGCTGATCTCCTCGTGGGATACACATGTGTGGTTTGAAAACCCAGAAATATTTGCCTCTTGCAAGGCTGTGACACTTCTGACTGAGTGAGAACTGCTGCCTTGCCTCCTGAGAGGGCCTGTCCCTGCAGTTCTGTACATGCTCAGTGTTGCCATTCCCCACACTCCCAAACAGAGTCTTCTACTGCCATGGCTAAGGAGTAAAGGAAAAGCATCCAATGAGCTCCAGCTCGTCCTGCTTGTCCTGAGCAGGGCGTGCAGCCAGGTACACACCTCAATTCCCAGCTGATAACCCTATCACAGGAGATAAGGAGCTGTCTGACAGTGCTCTGGCTGTGGCCCAGCTGGCCAGTGACAGGCAGAGATCTCCCACTCTCAGGGTAGACCACAGCTCTCCAACACCCCATCTGCAACACTCCCACAGCCTGCTCTTCCCCAGGAACAGACTGACATGCTGCTGAAGGGTGACAAGCTACAGCTGACAGTTTGCACATTCACAGCCCACTACAACATGAAATAGTTTCAGTTAAGTTATTTTGCAGTGACAGGGAGTCAGGAGTGCAAAAATCATTATCTAGTTGCATGCAGAAAAACACCCAAGGAAAGCTTCCTGGCCTTTTGGATGCTGGAAGGATCAGAATTAAACAGTGTGCTAGCAGAGTCTTCACCTGCTGTCCTCCTGTCTCTCATCACCCTGACCAGCAGCTCCAGCACACCCAAGCTTTTGTTTTTCCTTTCTGAATGTGAAATGTTCCCAGCTATGCTGTTGCTGAACTCTTGTGCTTTAGTGCTTGTCCCTGTTTCCTGGCTGAGCTCAGGAGGATGTGTTGGGTGTCCCTTGGTCTTGGCCCTGAGTCCCTTCCCTGTGCCCACTCCAGGTGCTGTACAGCACTGCAGCAGTGCAGTGCCACCTGCAGCAGTGGCAGGAGGCCAGAGTCACCCTGGAGAAGGCTGTTGTGTGGAGACCTGAAAGAAGAACAGCAATCCTGGAGCTGGCCCTGGAGCGGGTGCAGGTAAGGCCACATCTGTGAGCTCCTGGGAGTGTGCTTTGGGCTTCAGTTCAGGGATGTGTGCTAAAAGTTGTCATTTTGTGTGTTCCTGACACCTGCATGTTCCTGCCATCCCTCCACCTGCTGGGCCACCTGCTAGCACAGTCTAAGCCATTTGTACATGATTCTCTGCCAAACCAGGGCTTCAGGTGATCAAGGAACCCCACCACCCCCAGGTGCTTCACTGCCCAGAAACACCATAGTGAAGGATTTTGGGATGACCTCTGAGGCTGGGGACATGGCTTCCTGGTTCATCGTGTTCAGGAGCTCAGTTCCACTCCAATAAGTTCCATTTGTACTTGTCCTGCAAAACCAGTTTCCTTGTGCAGTGTTTCAAGTGCAGAAGCCCTACAAGTGCAGGTCTGGAGAGTCTCCCTTTTCGTGGCACTGGCTGGCTTCTTTTGAGTCCCTTTGGCCTCAAGAACAATTGGTGGCAGCTCAGATATTAATGTCAATCACTTTTAGAGCTTAAGTAGGGTGTGAAAGTGTTTCTAGAGCTGCTTCTAAGTAAAAGTTTCCTGTTAGACTCCTTTATGATCTGAAAACATTTGCAGATCTCTGATTTACTCTTCCTGAAGGATTCATTAGTTTGCTACCTTCATATTTTTTAAGAGATTCATACTTTGTTTTTAATCCAGTCATCTCTTCTGCATCACATTTGTGCTTTTCCTGTGTATTATTTATATTTGCTATTAGCACGCTACTCAGTGGCTGAACAGAAAACATCTGAAGTCAAACAGAAAAGCTGTCTGGAAGATTTGTTTGATAAACCTTCCTGCACTGCCCCCCTTCGCACACACCCCATGCCAGCAGTGTCAGTCCTTGCCTCCACAGTGGGGAGGGGCTGCTGAGCTCTCAGTTTGCTCGTGCTTTTGTGGAGCCTGAGTGGCCTTTGTCAAGTTCACAGCTGAGACTTTTGGCCCAATGTCTTCCTGGAGCTGCTCTTGCACACCTAAGCTGTATTTGCTTTTCAGGGCTCTGATGTTTTGTTCAGTGCGAACTGATGGCTTTTCCTTTACCTGCTGTCCCCACCCCAGGACCACCTGTTTTTAGAGCCCATGCTGGTTCCTCTTGGCGAACTTTTCAGACCACGAAAGAAGGAAGTTGAGCAGCTGGATTCAAAAGATTTCCTGGGTAAACCCAAGGTAACAGGCATGTAATTGTCACAGTTAACAGCGCCAGAAAAAAATCTTGCCCCTGCCATCTCCAGAGAGCAGTGCTGTGCGGGCAGCCAGAGCAGGATGGGCAGAGCTTACAGCCAGGCCAGGCAGTTGGGACACAGAAGCCAAAATTCGTTAGAATTGCTACTCCTTCTACCAAAAAATACACTTTGGCTATAAAATACCTTCCAAGTCTTGATCACTTAAAGTCTGAAAGGGCTGAGCAGGTACTCTGGGAACCCATGGTTGCCCTTTTGCTGATAATGATGTTTTTAAGAGGGGCTTGTTGTCCCAGCATGTTGCTGCTCAGTCCTGCATTGCCAGGGGGACAGGTTGGCACTCAGGGAACAAATGCTTTGTCATATCCCTTAATACAAGGCAGCATAGAATTTCTCTGTCCCTGTCTGTGACCAGTGCAGTCAGAACAGAGAGCTCCAAAACAACTAAAGGAAAGTAATAAATTCACATACTTTTAAAGAAACCTTGGAAAGACTAAAAAACTGGGACACAAATGGTTGAGGTTGTATTGGGAATCCAGCTCTGCCTCTCCCACTGCATGTACAGGTCCACATTTTGCCTGACCTTGGGATGCCAGAAGGAAATGGGTCTGAGCAGGTAATATTGGATGAAGTTTGGGAGTCTCTTCGTCCAGCCTAGATTGACTCACTGCTTTGTTCTCCAACAGGTCATCTCATCCATCATTCCCAATGATGAGTACATTGGCTTCGAGCCTCTCAGGCCTCAGGTGAGGACAGGGTTGTGAAAGGAGGAATGGAGCTGTCATGGAGCTCCAGAAAGAGGATCAGATCCGAACCATCAGGGAAAGGAAGAGTGGACTCTTGGTAAAACCAGTGTAATACCAGCCTGGATCCATCCAGGCTCAGCACTGGCTGTAAGGGACTCAGTGATGGGAATCTCCAGCCCCTTGAAGATGCATTTTTGCTCTTCACCATGTCAAAACAGCTTTGCTGTGCTCAGCCTGTCTCTGCTCATCACTTCAGTAAATGTGTCAGTGTGAGCACAGCTGTCTCCCACTGTACTGGGAGTTCCTTGGAACCAGGGGAGGGGGAAGAGATTGTCTTACATCTGCATGAGATAAAGAGGGAGGGGAAGGAAGAGAAGGCACATCCTGGTAAGGTGTGCAGCAGCAGACTTTTTCTGGGTGGTGTGGAATGACAAATGGAGTAAGAGTCAGGAGGTGAGATGGCATTGCTGGTGTAGGAGACACTGTTACAAACAGATCCTGTTGTTTCTCCCACAGAAACAGGGCTTTTATGAACCCAGTGCCGATGCTCTGCGGTGAGTGTTCAATCCCACCTTGGTCTTACCCTTCCCTCACTACTGTTCAGAAAGTCTTTTATTCTCTGGCTTATTTGTGTGAAGACACTGAGGGATCCATAGCCTCTCTGACCAGGGGTGAAGTGAATGACAAACATACAAAGGCTGCAAAGGATGCTGCAGGTCCCTGGCGTCTCTGCAAGAGCCTCTGGGCAGTTTGCAGGACTTGATTAAATGGTCCTGGGAGACTGGCATGGATCATGGCATGCCTGGGGAATGGAAGCAGACAGAGGTTGTGGGACCTGCCTAGGTCTGTGGCAGAGGGTGCTCAGCTTTCCCATCTTAATTCCAAGGACAATTCCAAATACTCACTACCAACCCTAGTGTCCTGAGCCAAAATTATGTTCAAACCCCAAGAAAGTAATTTGTTTTGATCATATGACATCAGCAGTACTTCAGGGCTGTGTTGAATAACTGTTTTGATCTTGACATTGATCATAAGTACAATGCAAATACAGCTGCATTTGGCAAATCAGTGTTGCCCAAGCCCCTTTTGTTCCCAGTTGGAGTGAAGAGCAGCAATGGAAATCCCGATTTCCCAAGACCCTCACCCTGCAGCCCGTGGCAGCTGGGGCCGGTGCAGTGTGCTGGCTCAGGGCCATCAGCACCGCACCCCAGGCCACTGCAGCGCTCTCCTCTCCCCGCAGGGATGCCGAGTCCGGCTACCACCGAGTGCTGTCCCGGTACCGCCCCGAGGAACCGTCGGGGCCCGAGGTGGCAGCCGGGAGCCTGGTGTTTGTGCTGGGCAGAGCAGCGGACGGCTGGGCCACGGCCATCCACGACGGGCAGGTGAGGGACACGGGCCCGAGGGCAGGGCAGGGACACGGCCCCGAGGGTGCTGAGTCACACTGCCTGAGGGCAGGGCAGGGACACGGCCCCGAGGGCAGGGCAGGACACGGCCCCGAGGGCAGGGAGGGACACGGCCCCGAGGGTGCTGAGAGACACAGCCTGAGGGCAGGGCAGGGACACGGCCCTGAGGGCAGGGAGGGACACAGCCCCGAGGGCAGGGACACGGCCCCGAGGGCAGGGCAGGGACACGGCCCTGAGGGCAGGGAGGGACACGGCCCCGAGGGTGCTGAGAGACACAGCCTGAGGGCAGGGCAGGGACACGGCCCTGAGGGCAGGGCAGGACACGGCCCCGAGGGCAGGGCAGGGACACGGCCCTGAGGGCAGGGAGGGACACGGCCCCGAGGGCAGGGCAGGGACACGGCCCTGAGGGCAGGGAGGGACACGGCCCCGAGGGCAGGGCAGGGACACGGCCCCTGCCATGGCTAAGGAGTAAAGGAAAAGCATCCAATGAGCTCCAGCTCGTCCTGCTTGTCCTGAGCAGGGCGTGCAGCCAGGTACACACCTCAATTCCCAGCTGATAACCCTATCACAGGAGATAAGGAGCTGTCTGACAGTGCTCTGGCTGTGGCCCAGCTGGCCAGTGACAGGCAGAGATCTCCCACTCTCAGGGTAGACCACAGCTCTCCAACACCCCATCTGCAACACTCCCACAGCCTGCTCTTCCCCAGGAACAGACTGACATGCTGCTGAAGGGTGACAAGCTACAGCTGACAGTTTGCACATTCACAGCCCACTACAACATGAAATAGTTTCAGTTAAGTTATTTTGCAGTGACAGGGAGTCAGGAGTGCAAAAATCATTATCTAGTTGCATGCAGAAAAACACCCAAGGAAAGCTTCCTGGCCTTTTGGATGCTGGAAGGATCAGAATTAAACAGTGTGCTAGCAGAGTCTTCACCTGCTGTCCTCCTGTCTCTCATCACCCTGACCAGCAGCTCCAGCACACCCAAGCTTTTGTTTTTCCTTTCTGAATGTGAAATGTTCCCAGCTATGCTGTTGCTGAACTCTTGTGCTTTAGTGCTTGTCCCTGTTTCCTGGCTGAGCTCAGGAGGATGTGTTGGGTGTCCCTTGGTCTTGGCCCTGAGTCCCTTCCCTGTGCCCACTCCAGGTGCTGTACAGCACTGCAGCAGTGCAGTGCCACCTGCAGCAGTGGCAGGAGGCCAGAGTCACCCTGGAGAAGGCTGTTGTGTGGAGACCTGAAAGAAGAACAGCAATCCTGGAGCTGGCCCTGGAGCGGGTGCAGGTAAGGCCACATCTGTGAGCTCCTGGGAGTGTGCTTTGGGCTTCAGTTCAGGGATGTGTGCTAAAAGTTGTCATTTTGAGTGTTCCTGACACCTGCATGTTGCTGCCATCCCTCCACCTGCTGGGCCACCTGCTAGCACAGTCTAAGCCATTTGTACATGATTCTCTGCCAAACCAGGGCTTCAGGTGATCAAGGAACCCCACCACCCCCAGGTGCTTCACTGCCCAGAAACACCATAGTGAAGGATTTTGGGATGACCTCTGAGGCTGGGGACATGGCTTCCTGGTTCATCGTGTTCAGGAGCTCAGTTCCACTCCAATAAGTTCCATTTGTACTTGTCCTGCAAAACCAGTTTCCTTGTGCAGTGTTTCAAGTGCAGAAGCCCTACAAGTGCAGGTCTGGAGAGTCTCCCTTTTCGTGGCACTGGCTGGCTTCTTTTGAGTCCCTTTGGCCTCAAGAACAATTGGTGGCAGCTCAGATATTAATGTCAATCACTTTTAGAGCTTAAGTAGGGTGTGAAAGTGTTTCTAGAGCTGCTTCTAAGTAAAAGTTTCCTGTTAGACTCCTTTATGATCTGAAAACATTTGCAGATCTCTGATTTACTCTTCCTGAAGGATTCATTAGTTTGCTACCTTCATATTTTTTAAGAGATTCATACTTTGTTTTTAATCCAGTCATCTCTTCTGCATCACATTTGTGCTTTTCCTGTGTATTATTTATATTTGCTATTAGCACGCTACTCAGTGGCTGAACAGAAAACATCTGAAGTCAAACAGAAAAGCTGTCTGGAAGATTTGTTTGATAAACCTTCCTGCACTGCCCCCCTTCGCACACACCCCATGCCAGCAGTGTCAGTCCTTGCCTCCACAGTGGGGAGGGGCTGCTGAGCTCTCAGTTTGCTCGTGCTTTTGTGGAGCCTGAGTGGCCTTTGTCCAGTTCACAGCTGAGACTTTTGGCCCAATGTCTTCCTGGAGCTGCTCTTGCACACCTAAGCTGTATTTGCTTTTCAGGGCTCTGATGTTTTGTTCAGTGCGAACTGATGGCTTTTCCTTTACCTGCTGTCCCCACCCCAGGACCACCTGTTTTTAGAGCCCATGCTGGTTCCTCTTGGCGAACTTTTCAGACCACGAAAGAAGGAAGTTGAGCAGCTGGATTCAAAAGATTTCCTGGGTAAACCCAAGGTAACAGGCACGTAATTGTCACAGTTAACAGCGCCAGAAAAAAATCTTGCCCCTGCCATCTCCAGAGAGCAGTGCTGTGCGGGCAGCCAGAGCAGGATGGGCAGAGCTTACAGCCAGGCCAGGCAGTTGGGACACAGAAGCCCAAATTCATTAGAATTACTACCCCTTTTACCAAAAAATACACTTTGGCTATAAAATACCTTCCAAGTCTTGATCACTTAAAGTCTGAAAGGGCTGAGCAGGTACTCTGGGAACCCATGGTTGCCCTTTTGCTGATAATGATGTTTTTAAGAGGGGCTTGTTGTCCCAGCATGTTGCTGCTCAGTCCTGCATTGCCAGGGGGACAGGTTGGCACTCAGGGAACAAATGCTTTGTCATATCCCTTAATACAAGGCAGCATAGAATTTCTCTGTCCCTGTCTGTGACCAGTGCAGTCAGAACAGAGAGCTCCAAAACAACTAAAGGAAAGTAATAAATTCACATACTTTTAAAGAAACCTTGGAAAGACTAAAAAACTGGGACACAAATGGTTGAGGTTGTATTGGGAATCCAGCTCTGCCTCTCCCACTGCATGTACAGGTCCACATTTTGCCTGACCTTGGGATGCCAGAAGGAAATGGGTCTGAGCAGGTAATATTGGATGAAGTTTGGGAGTCTCTTCGTCCAGCCTAGATTGACTCACTGCTTTGTTCTCCAACAGGTCATCTCATCCATCATTCCCAATGATGAGTACATTGGCTTCGAGCCTCTCAGGCCTCAGGTGAGGACAGGGTTGTGAAAGGAGGAATGGAGCTGTCATGGAGCTCCAGAAAGAGGATCAGATCCGAACCATCAGGGAAAGGAAGAGTGGACTCTTGGTAAAACCAGTGTAATACCAGCCTGGATCCATCCAGGCTCAGCACTGGCTGTAAGGGACTCAGTGATGGGAATCTCCAGCCCCTTGAAGATGCATTTTTGCTCTTCACCATGTCAAAACAGCTTTGCTGTGCTCAGCCTGTCTCTGCTCATCACTTCAGTAAATGTGTCAGTGTGAGCACAGCTGTCTCCCACTGTACTGGGAGTTCCTTGGAACCAGGGGAGGGGGAAGAGATTGTCTTACATCTGCATGAGATAAAGAGGGAGGGGAAGGAAGAGAAGGCACATCCTGGTAAGGTGTGCAGCAGCAGACTTTTTCTGGGTGGTGTGGAATGACAAATGGAGTAAGAGTCAGGAGGTGAGATGGCATTGCTGGTGTAGGAGACACTGTTACAAACAGATCCTGTTGTTTCTCCCACAGAAACAGGGCTTTTATGAACCCAGTGCCGATGCTCTGCGGTGAGTGTTCAATCCCACCTTGGTCTTACCCTTCCCTCACTACTGTTCAGAAAGTCTTTTATTCTCTGGCTTATTTGTGTGAAGACACTGAGGGATCCATAGCCTCTCTGACCAGGGGTGAAGTGAATGACAAACATACAAAGGCTGCAAAGGATGCTGCAGGTCCCTGGCGTCTCTGCAAGAGCCTCTGGGCAGTTTGCAGGACTTGATTCAATGGTCCTGGGAGACTGGCATGGATCATGGCATGCCTGGGGAATGGAAGCAGACAGAGGTTGTGGGACCTGCCTAGGTCTGTGGCAGAGGGTGCTCAGCTTTCCCATCTTAATTCCAAGGACAATTCCAAATACTCACTACCAACCCTAGTGTCCTGAGCCAAAATTATGTTCAAACCCCAAGAAAGTAATTTGTTTTGATCATATCACATCAGCAGTACTTCAGGGCTGTGTTGAATAACTATTTTGATCTTGACATTGAACATAAGTACAATGCAAATACAGCTGCATTTGGCAAATCAGTGTTTCCCTAGCCCCTTTTGTTCCCAGTTGGAGCGAAGAGCAGCAATGGAAATCCCGATTTCCCAAGACCCTCACCCTGCAGCCCGTGCCAGCTGGGGCCGGTGCAGTGTGCTGGCTCAGGGCCATCAGCACCGCACCCCAGGCCACTGCAGCGCTCTCCTCTCCCCGCAGGGATGCCGAGTCCGGCTACCACCGAGTGCTGTCCCGGTACCGCCCCGAGGAACCGTCGGGGCCCGAGGTGGCAGCCGGGAGCCTGGTGTTTGTGCTGGGCAGAGCGGCGGACGGCTGGGCCACGGCCGTCCACGACGGGCAGGTGAGGGACACGGCCCCGAGGGTGCTGAGGGACACGGGCCCGAGGGTGCTGAGAGACACAGCCTGAGGGCAGGGCAGGGACACGGCCCTGAGGGCAGGGCAGGGACACAGCCCGGAGGGCAGGGCAGGGACACAGCCCCGATGGCAGGGACACGGCCCCGAGGGCAGGGCAGGGACACGGCCCTGAGGGCAGGGAGGGACACGGCCCCGAGGGCAGGGCAGGGACACAGCCCCGAGGGCAGGGACACGGCCCCGAGGGCAGGGCAGGGACACGACCCCAAGAGCAGGGCAGGGACACAGCCCCGAGGGCAGGCTTAGCCCCAGCCACCCTGAGCACAGCCCTCAGGAGCTCCTTCCCACACCCCCCAGATTTCCTGACACTGGGCTCTCACGGGCCTCTGCCATTCACCTCTGTAGATCCACAAGGATGGCTTCTGGGCTCTCCACCGTAGGGGATCCTATTGTGGAGTTGTAGGATAGCAGACCTCACCAAGGACCACCATTTAGAGCAGGATTTATCCCCTGAGAGCTCTGATGGAGCTGAGGAGGCGGGCTGGTCCTTACCTGGTCTGTAGTGCCTCTGTTCAATGAACTTTGGGAAAGTTTGGGGAGGGTTTCAGCTGTACAGGCAGGTTTTATGAATGGCTCTAGGGAAGTCCTAAGGACTTGGAGCCCAGCAAATCTGACATCTTCCTGCAAGCCAGGGAGCTGTAGTGTAAACAGACTGAATAGAAACAGATAAACACAACATGGAAAATCTTTTGTTGGCAGAAGCCATTTCTCACCTGTCTAGTTCACTTTTTGAAAGAGATGTTGTAAACCTGCATTAGGTTCAGTGAATGTATTACCTGCCTATCTTTCAAAAAAGTCACAAAATTCTTCATAAGACCACTATAAACCAGTGAGGTGTTTGAGCAATTGAGGCAGTGCTCTGAGGACTGGTAAAAGTACAGAATTAAAAGTTGGGTATAAAAATGAACAGGTTTTTCTTCCTTTCATTTTTAAAAAGAAAGGATGTTCCCACAGCAGATCCTCTGTGACATAAGCATTTAGCATATTCCTAAGTGCTATAGGAATAGGGGGAGAGCCTGAAGCATCTGGAGCTAACAGGAACAGTTACACAAGTATTTGGATGTGGTGGTTGACTGCTCAGTGAAGTGCCAGGTGAAATTCAATGTAGAAAAAGTAAAAACAGACTCTCAACAGAAAAGGAAAAAAAGCATTGTAAGCAAAAAATTGCAATGCTCAGTTGAAATGAGCAGCAGTGATTGTCAGAAGACACAGAAATGCAGTTGGACTGGTATCCCTGGGCATCCTTGCTGCTCTCTGCCCAAGCTCTGTCTTGGGAGCAGGGGGTTTGGTGGGTGTTTGGTCTGTTCCACTGCAGCCACTCCAGCAGCAGCTCTGCTCCCAGCTGGAAAAGCTGCAGAAGGATCGTTGGATTTTGTCCAGTAGTTTGTGAGCACTGAGCACTTGGGTGGCTGGGGGTGACCCCACACATTCGTGTGGCCATAGGGTGACAGGCAGTGCTGGGGCTGGCTGGGTCGCTGGGCTCCTCTCTCACCCTGCTCTGCTCCGTGTCCCTCTGCAGAAGCTGCACATCCCGAGCTCTCTCCTGGAGCCTGCCTCAAGGATGGATAAATGGGTGAGCTGGCAGCCTTGCAACCAGGGGGAAGGAGGGACCAAGACATACATTTGGGACATTTATCTGTCAGATTATCACAGGATAGGACAACTCTGTAACAGAAACGTAGAGTATGAAACACTGAGTCTATTGATTGAAGACCAAGTGCTCTTGAATGGGAGCAACAGAAGAGTTAGGAGTAGGAAAAATCCCTTTGACTCAGGAGAACTTTGTCTCTTATCTCCACCACAGGCATAGCCACACATTATCCCAATCATTTTCCATCTGAACCCAGTGTGGAAGGGCCCAGTTCAGCCCCATTTCCTGTGAAGGAGTTTTCAAGCACATGGTTGTTCTGATGTTGCTATGATTTTTTTAGTTCTCATTTTTCCTCCTCCACATGGTACACACTTGGGTGTTTGCTCCATGGATGTGTCACTGTCAACCAGCCCAAGTGGGGGAGAGCCCTCAGCACAGTGTGAGCAGCCTCCTTCTGTTCCAGCACCAACCCAGCAGGGAGCAGGGTGCCAGGGAAGTGTCCCCAAACCTCTGCCCTCGAGAGCCTGATTGCTCCACCTCATCCAACCATTCAGTGAGCAGCTCTCCCTGGGGTTACACCCACAAGTCTGTAGCTGGCTGCAGCCTGTCACACACCAGCCTTGTCCAGGCTCCCATTTTCTGCCCTCTCCTTTCTGATGCTGTTCTGTTGCAGAAGATCAGCACTGGGATTCCCCTTCCTCCTGCCCAGGTGCCTCCCAGCCGCCTCCCCATGAAGCAGAAGCCAGGTAATCCCTGGGCCCTCAGTGGGTGAAGCTGTGCCCAAACCCCACTCTTTAGAGGGCATGAGGAGGTGGTGGCCCCACTGCAGCCACTGCTGACTGCAGGGCTATTCCCCTGCCTTTGTGCTGTTCTTCAGATCCTCCTGGGGAAGAAAATGCCTCTGTCAATGATGCCAATGCCCACATGGACTCCAAGGTGAGATGTTTCACATGCTGAAGCTGGCACAGCCTCAGGAGGCCAGGGCTGGGAAGAGTGCAAGATTCTTGCCCAGAATTCCTGAGCTGCTCCCAGATCACTGGGAAAAAACCTCCTTCCTCTGACACTTTTCCATTCTAAAGGGAGGCTCCCATGTGGCCTTTCCTCCCAGTTTAATCACTGGGAAAAGTCCTCCTTCCTCTGACCACTTTTCCATTCTAAAGGGAGGCTCCCATGTGGCCTTTCCTCCCAGTTTGTGGCCATCCCATCTTGTGAGACAGCCTATGACTGACCTGTTGCCACTCTCTGAGGCACCAGGAGCACCAAACACATCAGAATTCTTGTGCACTTGCTTTACAGTCAACTTTGCAAGAGGCAGTTGTCTTTGAACACCCTGCTGTCCCTTTCCCCCTCTTCCTGTGTCCCATTTTCTGTTGTTATCAGTCTGAATGGCACTGTTAATTTAAATTTGCCCTGTTGGGTAATGTCCTCTGAGGTACTTCCATGCCGTTGCCAGCCCCTGCATGTGATGGTCCTGGAATGACTCCTGTGACCCTCTGGGAACACCACCTCTGTCCCTTAGCTGTAGGTCAGCTCTGTCACACCTGTTTTTAGGGCTTTTGGGGTATATTTTTCAGGTGTAGTTCAGCCAGAAGGCAACACAACAGAGGAATGTGGCTGCTCCTCTCCAGCTGGCTGGAGGAATTGGGGCCTTGTTCATATAATTTTGGGTTTAGAGGTACCTGTAAAATCAGAACCAAAACCAGAATTCCTAAGTCACAGGAGGAACATTTGATCCCAGGCTTTGAATCCAGAGTTCCCCTTTGAAATTCAGGTCTGCATTTTGATGATGTTCTACTGCGACATGGCAGCACAGAGATGAGGGATTGTCTGTGTCACCTCTCTTGGTATGACAGCAGATATTGTCAGTTGGGTCTGTTAGTCAGTTCTCCTTAGACTGAACTTCATAGTCAGGGAAAGGTTCCTCCCCGAGGGTGCTGGCACTGCCCAGGCTCCCCAGGGAATGGGCACGGCCCCGAGGCTGCCAGAGCTCCAGGAGCCTTTGGACAGCGCTGCCAGGGATGCCCAGGGTGGGGTTGCTGGGGTTGGTTGGGCAGGGACAGGAGCTGGACTCGAAGATGCTGGTGGGTCCCTTGCAGCTGAGGATACTCTGATTCTCCACTCTGACAGAGCCCGTCTCCCCACAGGTGCCCCCGAGGCGCGGGGAGGCCTCCGCGGGCACAGACAGGCCGGCGGTGCTGCGGCTGCGCTGCGAGTGCTCGCTGCTGCTGCAGGCGGGCGAGGCCCCGGCCCTGCCCGCCCTGCGGGCCCTGCTGCGGGACAGGCTGGCTCAGCAGGCACAGCGGGGCACGCTCAGGTATGGGCTGAGCAGCCCACAGGTGTGTGGGCCAGCAGCCATTCCCCTCAGGACACGGGCGGCCAGCTGCCTCTGGGCTCCTGGGAACATTCATCTGGGGCCAAAACCAGCAAAGGTGTGAGCACACAGTCTGCCTAGAGGGCAAACCTTACCATGGGCTGTGGGTGGGACAACAGCATGATCCCCGTGGGGAAGAACATGCTGTTCTTATAATCCCCTCCCAGTACATCAAGGGCTCAGGGAGAGCTGCAGAGGGATTTATTACAATGGCATGGAGTGACAGGAGAAGGGGGAATGGCTTCGAACTGACAGAGGGCAGGGTTGCATGGGATATTAGGAAGAAATTCTTTAATATAAGAGTGGTGAGGCCCTGGCACAGCTTGCCCACAGACACTGTGAATTCCTCATCCCTGGAACTCTTCAAGGCCAGATTGGATGGAGCTTGGAGCAACCTGTTGTAGAAAAGATTCTCTGCCCATAGCAGGGGGTTGAAACTAAATTATCTTTACGGCCCTTCCAAACAAAACTGTTCTACAAGTCTGTGATTCTGTGGGCCTTGGAAGCCTGAAGGATCTTTCCTAGGAAACTGTACCATGGTCAAGAAAAAGGGAGAAGAGAAGGAAAAATTCTGTGTAGATGCAGCTGCCACACGTTGGATTTTGTCCCACTCAGCTCAGCCTTTGCAGTAACAAGGATAATGCAGACCAAACTGGGACTCAGGCAGAAGATCCTGGGGTGAGGTCTCTCTGGATGTGACACCCCTTGGGACACACAGTGGCATCAGGAGAGTTTAGAGTCTAAGTTTGTGTAGTGTGTGAGAGGAGGTGACAGTGTCACTCCCCACAGTGCCATTTCTGCCCACTGAGCATGTGGGGTGGCCCCATGTCACTGTGCAGCAGGACAAGCTCAGAACTTGCCTGCAAAGGGGACTGTAAAGACTGAGGGTGGCAGAGGGCTGGGCTGGCCTCCAAGTTTGGCTTTAAAGGGGATTATTTGCTCAGCATTAATGAACACTTGCAGCTACAGGCTCCTGGATGGCACAGAGCTGGGGACTGTGTTGGGACAGGAGGACCTGGGGAAGGTGTGGCAGCAGCTGACTGAGGGCAAGCTGACACTCTGTTGTCAGGTACGTGGGCTGGGACAAGGTCTCTGCTGGGCCCCAGTCTCTGCTTTGCTTTGCAACCTCTATGCTGGCTTTTTCCTGCAGGACTCAGACTCCCACTCAGGCAGACCTGTCCTGTACCAGATGCTGGCTCAGCACTCTTACCTGGCACAGGGACCAGGGGACCTGGAGTTCAGCAAGGGAGATGTGCTGGATATCCTTTCTGAAGGTAGCTCTCCAGTCCTGCTGCTGGGCCAGGCTTTTGGGGTCTGCTGTGAGGAGGCATTGGGAAAATGTGGCCTCACCAGTGCTGTCTCAGGTTCATACTCTCAGGAGTTACAGGCTTGCACGGGGTTTTTCCCAGAGTTAAATTCCAGCCATGAAAACTCTCACTAACCCCATTCATATGGGCCAGGGCTCATTCCTGCTCCTTTTTTTAAAATTTTTTTCCAGTGAACGAGGACTGGCTGGAAGGACGTTGCAATGGCAAGACTGGCATCTTTCCCAAATGCTTTGCCACCCAGACCAGCTGTGGTGCAGCCTTCCTATAGCAAACAGGAGCCTTTTCCTGCCTGACTGCACCCCCAGGGGTGGGAGACACTCATCCCAGCTCATTTGGGCCCCAGCCAGCACAGCCAGGAGCTCTGCTGTACCTGGACAGGGGGTATCTGCCACTCAGATCCATGGGGTCAGTTCCAGCAGTGATGGCATTTCCCACAGCCTGTTCCCTGACCTGGCATTTTTACCTTGTGCTTGCACTGCTGAAGATGTGTCTGTGAAGAGCAGAGAGCAGGGAGAGGGCTCTGGGGTTTGGCTGTGGGAATTGTCCACGTAGCAGCTCAGGCTGCTGGGTGGGAAGAGGTTCCCCTGGGTGGGAAGAGGTTCCCCTGGCTGGAAGTCCTCATCCCCTCTCCCTTGTAGCTCATGTTGAGGCTGGGAAGGCTGAGCCTCACTCCCAAAGCTAAGGGTGGCTGGCTGGGAGCAGGGTCTGAGCCCTGTTCCCCAGGCTCTCAGGTCACATAACCTTATCTTCACCAGCCAGAGATGCTGCTCTTTCAAAAGGCTTTTGGAACCAGTTTGCAGTGGGATTTATGGGAAAACACCATGAGTTAGGACCACTGTTTTCCATAGCGAATAGCTATGGACCTGACCATTCCTTCACCAGGTGCCTTGGGCACTTTTCTTAAGCCCTAAGGCCAGGGTGGGATCTTGGAGCACAGAGAATAGGCAGTGGTGGAAATCCCCACTGCTCAGAGCAGCTCTGGGTTGTGGGAGAACCCTGGGGAAAGGGCTGGCTGGGAAGTGCAGTGCTGGGCTTTTGTTGCAAAGGCTGAAAGCCCTGTCCAATTCCTGCAACTGGGCTGGGCTGATCTAAATAAAACACTCAAGTGCCTGGAGCTGAAACCTGTTCTGGATTTGGTGTCGTGACAAAACTTGGCTATGTAACTTGAATATAAAATAAACCCTGAGCCAGAGTTGGCAACTCTTAAATCAACTTCCACTTGTGTTTTTCTGCTGAGATATGCCAGTAAGTATTTTTAACAACAGCTGACAGTGTCTTTGGGAAGAGATTCTGTCACATACTACAAAAATATTGCACATCTTGCACAGGGCAGGATACAGATGATGTCAGCCCTCTGCTCAGAGTTAGGTGCCCACCACTGCTCTCCATTGCCAGTTGCCTCCCAGGACTGTTGGAAGAGTCAGGACTGGGAATGCCAAGGAGACTGCTAGGCTGAGCAGGGACATTCATATTTGAAAAACAAAACTGATTTTATTTCTAGGTTGATTTTTTTTTGCTTCATCCCGCCAACAAGTCTCAATGAGCTTTTGGCAGTCAGATTAAAGGAGTTGTCCTCTTGGAGAGAGATCAAGTCATCTTCTACATTCACAGAGATGACCCAGTCAGATCTCCTGAGCAATGGAGATGGGTCTAATGCCTTCATTCTTCTCCATTTTCCACCTCTTCTGCACCACTTCCCTGCCTGGTTTAGTAGGCAGGATGCCTAGCATGCCTCTAGTCAGGAGGCTGGGAGCTACTTTGTTTTCCAGAAACAGTGTAGGAAAACAGCCACCAGGCCTGCCACGATGGCCAGTACAAGGAAGGAGACGGCCCCTGCCCACAGGCCGGGCTGGTGGCCCTTGACATGCTGCAGAGCCTCAGCAGGGATCATGTTGGTCAAGTTCAGCATGAAGCCCAGTGTCCACCCGATGTCTGTGTTTGCTGCCTGGGGGGAGACAGCACAGGGCATCACCCAAAAGCACCTCCCCCAGGCACCAGCAGCTTGGTGGCTTGGTGTGAGGGGCACCTCTCCCGTGAGCTGTCTCAGCTGCTGTTTCACATGGGGACCAGGCTGTGGTGAACCTGATATTGCCAGCAGCAGTTGCACAAAGAGCTTTCCTGTCCCCTCTCCCCCAGGGCTAAGGGACAGCTGAACATGGATGACTGCTCTGATCCAGGTGTGCCTCTGTGACCTGCACGTGATTTTGGATCTGGGTTTTCCTTCATCCCCACAGTCCTTCCAATTTGGCTGTAGAATCAGTAAGGTCAGAAACACCTTTCAGGTCATCAAGTCCAGCCATCAGGCCAGCACCACCACCATGTTCATCACTAAGCTGTGTCCTCAAATGCCACATCCACATGTTGTTTGAACACTTCCTGTGATGGTGACTCCACCAGTGCCCTGAGCATCCTGTTCCAAAGCCTGACCATTTTCATTTTAATTTCCATTAAAAAAACCATTGCTAGTACCTAACTAAGCTTCCCCTGGCACAACCTGAGGCTGTCTCCTCTCATCCTGGAAATATTCTGGTCAGGCCATACTCTGGTTCAAAGTGGTCATGGAGCCACCATCACCTTTCTGATAACATCAGAGACCAAAGTGGCCAAATCCTGCTCTGGTTTTCTCCAACCCCCTAAAATCAGTCATATTCACAGCAGGGAAATGAGCTGGGTCAGAGGTTTGGGGTTGGCTAAGAGAGAGCAAAGCTCTCCTGGGATCCCTGGGGAGCAGCCATGAAACAGGGACACATCTCTGACACAGAATGTGGTGTTGCATTTTAGTTAAATGGTATGCTCAGTCTCACTCCTCCAAAATGTACGGTTTATTCCAAGCCTATGGTCCTGCCCTGAACTATCATGTATCTGTAATCCCATTGGCCTAAGTGTTATTCCATGCCCACTTTGAGTCTCTCTCTTAAGATGTGTGAGGGAAAAGATACCCTCTTGGCCCTCCTCTCCCCTAGGCTCTCCCTCCCTCTCCCCCTCCCTCCCCCTTCCCCCCTTCTCCCTCAGTAACCATGCTGCTCCCGGGGGTGGGACCCCCAATAAACCCTGATCTAATCAGCCCCCTCAGAAGCCGTGTGGAGTCTCCTTGCCTGCCTGCTGCTACCAGCGAACACACACAGCTCAGGGGGCCCTCTGGGGACTCCCCAGGGTGCCCCCCAAAATGAACTGCAACGACAGAGGACTCCAGAGATGCTGCTCCTGAACAAACCCATCTTTTCCTGCTGCCCACACGTGTTTACCTGCCTGCTAAAGTGGATGTTGCTCCAGGTGTGCTCGTTGAACTTGTAGCCATCGAGCAGCAGCGTCATGATGTAAAAGGCCACAGAGCAGTAGGTGTGCAGGTACTTCAAATCATTCGGGAAGCTCTGCACCAGCTGTGAGGCCATTGGAGACAGAGTGCAACAGGGAATGAAAGAGAGGCTCAGAAACCCTCCCTAGTGCAGGGAACAGCAGGGCTTGTGTTCCAAGGGCAGAGATTTGGGACAGGATAAGCACAAGACTCCTGGCTGCCCTTCACAGGGCTCTCACCTCTGTCCAGTTCCTTCTGCAGAAGGACAGGACTGTGGTGTTGACTTCACTCAGAGACTGCTGGCGGGTCAGGTTCAGGAAGCTGAAGGTGTAGTAGAACCCAGCAAAGGCCTGGGGAGCAAGGGAACATGGTGAAAAACACAATTCCTTCCTCACCCGAGAAAAAACCCAGGGGCCCCTCTTGCCTGGGGAGAGTCCTAAGTAATTCCCAGGGTTCTGCATCTGACACCCCCTTGATGGTCTACCAGAAAGTCTCAGAGCTGGCTCACAACCCTGGGGCTGCTCTGGCACTCTAAGCTAGCTCGGGCAGGCTCCCTCAGATAAGATCTTTCCGTTTCCCTCAGGGAATGCTGGGACATGGCAGGAGGGAGAAGCCGCTCTGAGCACAGAAGGTTTGCAGATAGAACCAGCTCTGAGGAACCCTCTCTCCCCACCCTGTTCCATAATCAGTGGCAGAGGAGACCCCCAGTCTCTGCCTTCACCCTGCCCCAGGCAGGGGACGGAGGCTGCTTACGAAGAACTGTCCCCGCACGGGGGGCTGATAGACCCCATTGAACCCGCACGGGCCCCGTGCCCCGCAGCTGAAGTTGAAGAGTCTCCGGACGGCCGTGCCACACGCGGCTGGGTCCCCTGTGCCCGTCACCGTGAGGACATGGCCAGGCCTGGCTGAGCTCGGCGCACGCACACAGGGGCTGTCGTACAGCTCTGCCACGGTGATGTTCTCCTGGTACCCCCGGGGGTAGCAGGGGTGAAGGATCTGAGCACTCGAGCTGGCCTGGAGAGAGATGGAGCCGTTAATGGGGCTGCAATGCCACTGACACCCTTCCCACAGCCCATCCCAAAAAGCAGCACTACACCCCAGGAGGACTGCGTGTACCCCACCTGTGAGCTCCCTGAGCAGCCCTGGCTCCCACAGCACTGGGCTCTGCCTCTGGCCCTGGGCACTTGTGCAGGGACTGTGCTGGGAAACCTCTCTGGGCAGAAATGGAGCAAGGCCAAGAGCATGGTGACAGCAGAAAAACTACACATACACCTGGCATCAGAAATTACAGAAAAATGCCACTGCATGTCAAGATGTGGGGACAAGGCAGTCCTGGCTGGCAACCACCGCCACCTTCCACCCAAACGAGGCAAGTTTTTGCTTCCCTAGATAAAACCCAAGCCTCTGCCAATTCCCAACTCTTTGCCCACAGGCACACCCAGCATGGCAGGGGGAGATGTGCCACGGCACTGGGAGATGGCTGAGCAGCCCCCGTGCCCCGTGGCACCTGGTGCAGAGCTGCCAGCAGCATCTTCAGGGCCTGGCTCTGCCCGTAGCACAGGTAGCTGTGGCTGTACAGGGAGTAGTTGGTGCCGTAGAGCCGGAAGAACACGGACGTGTTCCTGTCCTCCACGGGGACCCCGGGCTGGAAGGTGATCTGCGTCGAGGCACCGCCAAGGTCCAGAGCTCCCAGCACCTCGGTGTCCTGGGGATGTTCCCACTTCTCTGCAAACGAGAACTGGCCCAACACACAGCAAGGGTTAGCCTGAACTGCAGCCACTCCCACTCTCGCTCCCTTCCTGCAAGGAATTTGGGCTCCCAGGGGCACCTTCCACGTGCTCCTGGCTCCCTGTTTTACCCCTGCCTGCCCACATCCTCCTCAACCCACAGACACTTCCAGGGAGCACTGAGGTGCCGCCTCTTGGCTGCTGCACATCTGCTGGGATCCAGGCACTTGGAGCAGGGAAAAAGGAACTCCGTCTCCCGGAGGCTGATTCCACTGCCCTATCCCTGGGAGCCCAAAATCCACCCGTGTGTCAGCACACGAGAGCCCAGGGCCAGGCTGAGCTGGACACAAAGATCCTGTTAATCGCATTCATGGGGTGGAATCTGCAGCCCACGACCACAGGGGACCTTGGGCCGGGTGACCAGTGCCCCAAAGCTCCATTCCTCCCTCCTCTGCAAACAAGGAAAGCTGGCTGTAGCTCAGACAGGGACGTTCTCCCCTCTGCCCCTCCCCTGCCCTCTCCCCAGCTGCACCTTGACCAGGGTCTCCAGCAGGTAGTTGACAGTGATCCAGCCAAAGGAGCCCTCCTCGCTGCCCGTCAGGATCCGGGCTCCGCGGAAATCCACGGGGTACTCCCCAATGGCCTCGGACACCTGGGCCAAGACCTGCTCGGCCTTGCTGCTGTTCTCCTCCCTGCCAGCAAAGGCACAAACACCTCAGGTGCTGCCGGCCCTGGCTGGCAGCTCTGGCAGCCGAGCTGCCACTGAGAGGCTGCCGTGCCCTGCCAAGGAGCTGCTCCCAGACATCTCTCCGGCTCTTCCCTGCCTGCAGGTGGCTCCTGCAACCCCCACATCCCTCGCCCGGGGCCTCGGGAATCTCCCTAAAAACGCTGCCTGCAGGCTGTGCTGGAGCCCTGGGGAAGTTCACGCCGCCCTGGCACAGGGGGCTCAGCCCCTCTGCGGCTGCTGCCAGGCTGGCGCTGCCGAGGGCCGGGCGCGTCCCCGGGCACGGCCAGCGGCTCTCCCGGACACCCCGTGGCACCGCGGGCACGGCTGCTGTGCCCATGGCCGCGGCCCGGCCGGCAGCTCCCCAGTTACCAGCGGTGCTGGGGACAAGGATCCATCCCAAGCCCCTGGACCTGGCAGTGCTTTGGGAAGAAAAAGTTGCATGTGCTGTGGGGCCAGGCACAGTGACCAAATTCAGCCAGACCTGCTCCTGTCTGTGCAGGCTGTTGTCCCCATGTTGGTGACAAACAGCACAGCCTGCCTGAAACCCAGGCAAAACCCAACACCTAACGGTAGCCAGCAGCCCAGTGAGAGCTGTGCTCCTCCCAAGGACCCTACCTTGGTGCTGGGGGGCAGAAACACATCCTTCACATCCACAACGCTCAGAATGAGGGCGATGACGCTGCAGACACAGGTGGCTGCCAGGAGACTGGCAATGGCCTTGGCTTTGGAGCCCATTCCTCCTCCAACCTGCAAGGACAGCCCCAGCCCCCAGCTCACACATCATGGATGGGTATGGGACTTTCCCCTTCCTGACAATGAAGCCATCCTCTGGTGCATAGCTGCTCTTAGCATGGAAGAGGATAATATCCACGAGCTCCTCTGGACCCATCCCAGTAGAGTTGTTGGCAGCCTCAGGGCTGGGACATTCTGCCATTCTGAGCATTCCTTCCTTGGAGGATTTTCAGTACAGCATTTTCAGCCCTGCCTTCTCACCTGCAGCCCCTCAGGTCCCTCTGTGCCTGGACCCCAGCCCTGCTCAAGCTGTTCCCTGTCTGGCAAGTCAGCATGTTCCTTCACAGCAGCATCACTGGGGGAAGCCCAGCTGTGGCTAGCTGGAGTTCCAAGCTGGAAGCAGGATCGTGGCCTGGCAGGGTATCAGTGTGACCATCCCCCCGGGGCACAGAGCCACATCCCTCCAGTACCCACGTGCTGCCACCTCAAAACCCATCCCACAACACTTGGGACCAGGTCACATCTGTTGCCCAGCAGGCCCAGATTGTCCCTGAGAGGTTCCTCTCCGCCCCAGGCAGGGAAACAGCATCTCCAGCTGTGTCTCGTGCCTGATCCAGCTCTTGCTGATGCCACAGCAGGTAAGAGCTGCACAGGGACAGTGTCCATGCCTGCTGTGATCCCCACAGCTCTCCTGCAGCCCCAAGGGCAGGCAGGCAGGAAGGCAGAGGCAGGAAGCTCCTGCTTATCTGGGCACACAGCCAGGCTGGAATGCCCACAGCGATTGCCCTTGGGGACTGGAGCACTTCCCACTTGTGCATCGAGAGCTCAGCTCCCAGCAGAAACAGCCCTCAGACACTCCTAAGAAACTGCAGCAAAGCAAAGAGTCTGGTTCCCTGTGACAGCCTCTGCACAGGCCAGCTGAGACATCCATGTGCTCAGCACCTCACAGCTGGTCCAGATGTGCTTTTTCAAATGCACAGCTCTCCCTCCTCCTCCTGCACTGCCCTGCCTGCTGCCTTGAGCCACATAGGAGCCTGCTGCATCCTGCTGAGGCTGACCTCGCTTCACACTCCAGCTAAAAACTGTGGATGGCCCAAGAGCCCTGGGCACCAGAGGTGTAGTTTAACCCCACCAGTGCTTTGGGTGGAACCTGGAGCTGTCACTTGGCTACACAGTTCTCCTGTGAGTGCATAAAATCCCTGAGAAATTCCCCTGCCCTTTTCCCAGGTCAGTGGAAAGACCTTTGGCAAGGTCAAAGGAGATGCTGATTCCCGTTTTGGAGTCAGCATCTCTGGCAATGAACAAGGGTGACCAATCTCCTGCATAGCATGAGATGCACAACAATGAACAGCAGCTGTTCTTTGGGCCCACGTCATGGGACATGGGGCTATCAAAATCCCTTATCAGACCTTGTCCTATAGCCAGGAGCCTTCCCTCTTCAATGGCTGTGAAGAGATTGTATAGAATCAACTGATAAGTCCCTTTCATAGAAACAGGGAATCATTAAGGACCTCTTTGAGATATTAAAGTGGTTATCGATTCAAAGTGATCTCAGACTCAAATCATTAACCCAGTACCACCAAGATAACCACTTAATTATGTCCCCAGTTGTCATATCTGCAGTCCTACCAGCCCTGCTGGGGTTTGCCCAGTTACAACTGTGCCGTTGGGATGTGATTCATCTGCTCCAGGTAACAAACAAAGCAATGGGAAAAGTCTGCAGCCCAGCCTACATCCTGGAAATTCTGTCCCAGGCACTGTGAAATGGAAGGACAGAATTGGTGACAAATTGCACTGTGCTGCTTGCAGGAGAGGGTGGGAAATGGGCTCCTCCTGCTCTGCTAGGGACTAATTCCTGTTTTGACTGGACAGGGGGCAACACCCAAAGGCAGCACAGAGCCAGCTCTCCCAGTCAGGAGAACAGGGCACAGAAAGGGAGTCCAGAGGGTGGGAAACAGGGTGAGAAGCTGATCGATCTGGCTGGACTTTCTGTGGCATCCTGGGGCTGGCTAGCTCCAGTACATGCTACCACCCATGTGGGATCAGGAGCAGCAGGACAGGAGTGGTGCTGATGCCTCCAGAGCTGCAGAGGAGGCACGACGCTGCACGGTGCCTGCCCATTTCCAGGTGTGGAAAGTTTCCAGCTGTGCCCAGCAGCTGGAGCAGGGCTGCAGTTGTTTGTGTAGGGCTGGCCATGACAAAGGGCTTGACAAACACCTGTGGGACATCCCCCACTCGCAGCATCCCTTGTGCACAGGGAGCAGAGCCTCAAAAACTGGGGCAAAAGGCTCAGAGCCACTGCTGGATCTAAACTGCCCGTTGCTCAGGACAATGGGGGGCTGAATTCCCACTGGGCACATTTGGGATTTGAAAGCCAAAAGGGCTCTGAAGGTTCTAAGAGGGTGACTGTGGATGCCAGGAGCATCCTTGCCAGGCAGAGCAGTTCCCTGCACCCCACCTCCCACCAGCGCTGGGGCTTGGCAGTGCCCTCCATGCCCGGTCCCTGTGCCCTCCGTGCCCCTCTGCCCCCCGCACCTGGGAGCCTCGTGCGGCGAGCGGCCGCCCCGGCCCTCTCGTCCTCCCCCACCGGCCCACGGAGCGTGTTTCCCCCAGCACCGCCGCCGCTGCTGCCCGGGGCCCGCTCCCAGCCCAGCTCCACGGAGGGGCAGCAGCCCCGGGCCCGGCTCCCCCCGCCGCTCACCCCTTGGCTCCGGCAGCGCCGCGCTCGCCCCGGACTCAGCGCGTACCTGGAGCCGGGAGCCCGCTCCTGGGACAAAGGCTGCCTCGCCGGCGTGGCCCTCCCCTTGGCCCCGGACCAGCAACCTGCCCAGGAGAGCGCTTGTCCGGGAGGCAGCGGGGCTGGGGCTGGACAGCCGGGGTGGAAAGAGCATCCGGCATTAACCACTTCGCTGCTGAAGGAGCGGCACAGCCTGGCGCGCTCAGCCCGGGCGCGGGGGGGCTGCGCTGCCCGCGGAGATCAGCGAGGGGACAGATAGATCCCAGGCAGCCCCTGCCCCCGAGCCTGCGAGCTCCCGGCGCCGGGGGCAGCAGCTGAGCTCCGCAGCCTCAGACACTCTGCCAGACCTGTGGCACAAACGCCGTGAGGGGCCGAGCCTGCCCTGTCACCCTGCTGCCACCCTGCTGTCACCCGGCTCTGCGGGACCCCCACGTCCTGCTGCAGGCCGAGCCAGGCTGCAGCGGGGCTCGGGACAGAAACAGGAAGGACCTGGCAGGTGAAGAGCTGTCCCCACAGCCATCCACATGGGATCCATCCCCACAGCCATCCACATGGGATCCATCCGCACAGGCAGGCACCGAACTGTCCCCACGGTTAGGGAGCCACCCCCATTGCCAGGGTCCTGTCGGTCCCCGTGGCCAGCACCTGCCCACGGCCAGAGTGCCGTGGCTTTGGGACAGTGCGGGCAGGGAGCGGGCAGCGAGCGGGTACGGTACGGGCAGAGATGCAGGCAGCGGGGAAGCAGAGTGCGGGGAGGGAGCAGGCAGGGGGACAGGCAGGGAGGGAACAGGCAGGGAGCAGGCAGGGAACAGCCAGGGTACAGCCAGGGAGCAGGCGGGGGGGCCGCGTGTCCGGAGCGGGCAGCCGCAGCAACAGGCAGGGAGCAGGCAGGGAACAGCCAGGGTACAGCCAGGGAGCAGGCGGGGAGCAGGCGGGGCGGCCGCGTGTCCGGAGCGGGCAGCCGCAGCCCCGAGCTCCCCGCTCTTTCCGCCCGCGGCAGCGCCCAGAGCCCGCCCCGGCCGGGGCCGGACCCGGACGTCCGAGAGCGGCTCAGCTTCGCTTTCGCTTCGCTCTGCTCCGCCGGGGCGGCGCGGGCCCGGGGCCGGCGGGGAACGGGCTGTGCCCCGATCGCCGCCCCACGGAGGGACGGAGAGGGCTCCGGGCACAGGTACGGGACGGTCGGGCCGCGGCAGGCGGCAGCTTCGCCCCTGCCCCTTCCCGGCGCTCGGGGCCCGACAAGTTCATGGTCTCCCCACTCGCCCAGCTCGTGTCCCAGGGGTCACTTGGGGGTGGGGGGGACCATGAACTACAAGGAGAAGGGGATCCCCGGAGGGGCTGGAGGCTCGGGGCAGAGGCAGGCGGCTTGGGGCTCCTCTGGCAAAGTCCCTTCCTCTTCGCAGACATTCCCAAAGACCCCCCGTAGATCCTCCCAAAGACTACCCCTCACTCACATCCTCCTCCCAAACACCATCCCGCTCCACAGACCCGCCTCCCAAAGACCATCCCTTCCCCCAAACCCTCCTCCTAAAGACCCTCCCTCCCCACACACCCTCCGCCCAAAAGCCGCCCCTGCCCACAGTCCCTCTCTGCAGACCCTCCTCCTAGAGACCACGCCTCTGTGCAAACTTCCAAAGACCATCCCTCCCCAGTGACCCCTCCCCAGTCCATCCCTTCCCACAGACCTCCCCAGAGCCCATCGATGTCGCCGCGCCTGCTCAGGCCGGTGGGCTGGTGCTCGGCGGCCGTGCTGGGACTGCTGACGGTGGTCGTCTTCGTCCTGGTCCTGACCCCGGCAAAGGATGCTGTCCTTCCTACCAGAATCAAAGTAGGTGTCCAGTGAGACCTGGGGGAGCCTGGGAATGCCACCAGCCCCTTTCAGCCTGGAATACTTCCATCAGACCTGCCTTCCTCCCAGCTTGCGAGTTTCCCCATAACCAGCCCAGCTTTTCAGAACTTAACCTCATCAAGGTGGCACTGGGCAGATCAGCCTTCCCCAACCCACGGTCCTGGCTGCTTGGTAAGGATGGGAGAGAGAAGTGCAGCCTCCTCTCCGCAGCTGCTCCATCTGCCCCCACAGTCACTCTCTTCCCTGTTCTCAAACATCCAGGTCGTCTGTTGGGTTCACACCTCTCTTCCCTACTACTTTCTGCTGCTGTTCTGCTAGAAAATGTCAGGTTTTGTGCGATTTGCTAAAGGCCTGGGAGCAGGCTGAGCCCTTGGGGCCATGCCCCGGTGCCTCCCTGCCCTGCGGCTCACCCCGCTGACCTGCGCGTCCTTCCTGAGCTGTGGCTTGCTGAGTGGCAAACCCGGGGCTGTTAGAGGTGGAGCAGGGCTGCTGAAGGGAGGGTGATGTGCAGACCTCTGCTGCTCACGGTTGTACGGGGGAAGCAGGAGCAGAAGCTCTCAGAAACCCCTGTGGCACTTGGTGCAGCCCCGAGCCAGCTGTGACCCCGTGTCCCCTGTCCCCCAGTACGGTCTGGTGTTTGACGCTGGCTCCACACACACGTCCCTCTACATCTACCGGTGGCCCGCGGACAAGGAGAATGACACTGGCATTGTGTCCCAGGTGGAGGCCTGCTCTGTGTCCGGTGAGTGCCAGGATCTGCCCTCCCTCTCTCCCAGCCTCCTGGGTCACTGTCCCAACCTCTCACAGCACCGTCACTGATCCAAGTCTTTCAGCCTGCTCTGGGCAGAAGGGAGATTGTCCTGTGAGGAATCACAGGAAAGGGTCGGGGTTGTCTGCATCTGAGGCAGCCCTACAGTCATTGGGAGGTGCAGAGGTGGGGGAGGAATTGGGCCCCCACTTAGCTCAGATCTTGCAGCCAGTCCTGTCCAGACGTGCATCACCTCACAGCTTGGGATCCTGGATGTGCCCTTTGCTCCGTCTCCCCTGTTAGAGGTCCCTTGGCTCTTACCACATCTGTTCAAACCTTCTTTTGTTATGTGCAGCTTTGTGTGCCCACAGGGCCTCCCCAAAGCTCAGCACAAGTCCCGGAGCAATCCCCAGTCTCCACTCAGGTGGGGCCTGACAGCTCCTGGGGCAGCAGTTTGCATTTCAGTATCTGTGCAGCTCCAGAGCGAGCAAGGCTGGGGCTATGGCTGGGACACCTGGCTGTGTCTGAGCAGGCCAGTAGAGCTCCCTGGGGAATGGGGGGACACGTCCCCTGCTGTGCCATCCCTGCAGGGTGGCGCTGGGCTCTCTCCATCACCGGTTCCCTGTGGCAGGCCCCGGCATCTCCAGCTACGCAGACGACCCCGCGGGGGCTGGCGCCAGCCTGAAGCCTTGCCTGGACAGGGCCATGAAGATCGTCCCGGCCGAGCAGCAGCGAGAGACCCCCACGTACCTGGGGGCCACGGCCGGCATGCGGCTGCTGAGGTACCGGCACGGCCAGGCCGGCGCCTGCCGCCCTTCCCGGCGCTCCTGCGCCGCGCCGGGGCCGGGGCTGGCAGCGGGGCACACGGGCCACGGGGGAGCTGCCGGGCCCCCCGTGCGGGGACAGTTCTTCGTAAGCAGCCTCCGTCCCCTGCCTGGGGCAGGGACTAGGGGGGTTGGGGGCAGAACCCCGGGAACACTGCTCTAGGTGTATGTCTGAGTAGTGCCAGCCCTGGGAGCTGAATTGTGCCTGACACATGGAGACACCGAGGGTGCTGACCTGTGTGCCAGGCTGAGCCAGTGCTCTGCTCTCCCAGCATCATTCTATTCCCTGTCCATGTGGACAGCATTCCCAAGCTCCCTCCCCCAGGGTCAGTGCCAGCACCTGCAGTGATGGTCCCCCTTACAGGGACCTCTGCATAGGGTTGGGGGGCATCAGTGGCCTGAGTGCTTCACTAACCTGTCATCTTTGGTCTCACCCACAGGCCTTCTCGGGGTTTTATCACAGCCTACACTTTCTGAACCTGACAGGAGGGCAGTCCCTGAGCTTGGTCAATGCCACCATCACACAGATATGCAACAGCAGCTGGACACAGGTGAGATTCTGTCCAGGAGAGCATTTCATGTGCACTGGGAAGCCTGAAGGCTCATCCACAGTCCATCCTCTGCTGTGCTCAGCTGCAGAGAGCCAGGAGGAGCACAAAGGTCTCTGCACCTGGAGAGAGATGGGCCTGCAGCCCCCCAGGGTCTCTTTGCTCTTCCAGTCTTTGCTCCCAGCTGCACTGAGGGGCTGTTTCCCAGTGTGGGCACATCCAGCACTGCTCTGTGCCCAGCCTCCCCCTGTTCTCCCGCCTCTGCAGGTGCAGGAGTTGTTCCCCACAGCAAGCAGGACCCAGCTCCGTGATGCCTGCACAGCCAGCTCCTACACCCTCACCCTCCTTCTGCAAGGCTACAAATTCAATGTCACAACGTGGCCTAGCATCCACTTCATCCGGCAGGTAGGAGAGTGTCCAGCAGCCCCCAGCTTCCACACTTTGTGCCATGAAACGCCTCGTGCCCACCCTGCTGCTGCTGGGGAGGGGGGATACCAGGGCAGCACAGCCCCGCTGCCCATACCCAGGGCAGCTCCTGAGCTGAGCTCACACAGCTGTTGTCACATCTGCCCTGGCCCTTTGTGCTCTCCCCCGTTCATGTCGCTGCTGGATCCTCTGCAGCCCAAGGTGGGCACAGAAATGGTGGTTGTGGAGCAGGACCTGGGGGTGCAGGCTCTTCTCCAGTTTGCCTGGTACTTTGCAGCCTTTCTCATGCCTCTTCCCTGTCTGTCTGCACAGGTTGCTAACGTAGATGTGGGCTGGACTCTGGGCTACATGCTCAATCTCACCAACATGATCCCCTCGGAGCCTCCCACAGCAGTCACAGAGCTCCCGAGAAGCATCTGGATAGCAGCCACAGTTCTGCTGGCCATCATGCTCATCCTCACCTTCTGCCTGCTCACAGCCACGTGCTGCCACAGAAACTCCTCTATGGCCTATGAGCAGCTGTAACAGCGCTGCCTCCAGAGGCTGCCACGAGTCCTGCTGCCACACCTCTGCAAGGAGCTGCTTCCCAAGAACCACCCCTGTGTGCCCAGGGGCCACGGACTTGTCCTGGGGGGCCCTGAGTCCTGGCCTGGTGAGCTGGAACCGGCACAGCTGTAAAACACCCTCCCCATAGCTGTGTGCTCTGGCTCTCCTTTCCCTGCACTCCAGGAGGGAGGGCTTGGCCATGCAGGCCAGGGGCTCAGCCCTGGGGCCTGGGGACCAGCGTGCTGTGGGGGGGCTGGAGATGGGGACTGAGCGGGTCTGGCAGCAGTGGGACTGTCACAGGGCTGGTTACAGCCCACAGCAGAAGCCCTGGGTGGGACACACACGTCCTGCCCCATCCCATGGCCAGTGCCAGCCCCCATGGCCAGGGTCCATGGCTTTGGGGATGTTTGGGGTGCTGGCCTGGTAGACAGGGCTCTGCTAGGACTGGGTAGCCCTGTGGGGGGGATGGCACAGCTCCCTCCTCTCCTGCATGAGGTTCCTCTCCAGTCCAGCTGCACCCCATGCCCCATGCCTGGCAGACAGCTCATCCTCCCTTTCCAACACAGGGTGACTTGGCAACACTGCTGGGTCATGGCAGGGGCAACTCCTGTACATTTTTGGGAGTCCTACTGGCAGCCAATGATGGGTGAGTTGAGACACCTCCTCAGAGAAGGAAAAGGCCTCTCCTTGTGCCGTGTTGGCTCCACTCTGAGGTCCAGCAGACACCTCAGTGTCTGCAGGGACACCTCCCATAGATTCATTGCCTCACCCCTGAGTCTCTGTCATCACCAGCCCTTACTTGGGAGACAGAAGTAATAAAGTCACAACGATTTGGGAGCAAAGTAGCAGGCATTTCCCCACGTGCTGCCTTTTACAATGTTTATTTGGGTGATGAGAGCTGTGAGGTGCCCAGCATTCCACAGGGACACCAAAGGTGTGCTCCTCACTGTGGGAACGCAAACAGCAGCATGAATCATCCACAGAGCAGCTAAAACGAGCAGAACCAAAGGCAGAGGCCATGGGCAGGACCCAGCTCAGCCACGTGCAGGGCAGGACTCACAGCCTGCTGGAGCCTCATCCTGACACCCATGGGGTCCAGGCCTTCTGCTGGTGGGACATTGCTGTCTCCAGGGAGGCACTGAGGAACCTCAATCCCTTTATTCCGGGTGCAAAGGAAGAGGATGAGATGGGTGGTGAGATGTGAGATGAGATGACAGGACATGCCATAACACAGTGATGAGATGATGAGATGGACTCTCTGGAAGGCCATGGACCATACTTCTGACTGTGGATGCTCAATGTTCTTTCTCCAAGACAATCTCTTTCTCCAAGCCCCAGCCACAGACCCTCCACAGGGCCAGCTGGGGTCCCACAGAGCATCCCTCAGACTGGCAGACCTGGCAGGGACCCACCTGGCTTTTGGTGACCATGCTCAGAGCTGGCATTCCATGGAGCACCCTGTCCCCAGGTGCCTGCACCATGCCCCACCAGGCTGGCACCAGGGCACTGTCCCATGGCCAGGCTGGCCCTCCAGAGCTCCAGGGCCAGCTGGTGGGATGGAGCCACGTCTGTAACACGCAGAGCACTGACAGGAGGCACACAGGCTTGGCTGAGGCTTCTGCAGGCTGATCCCATTGCGTCTCTCTGGAAACCTCAGAGAGTGCCTGTCTGCATGTTGGGGGCCAGGCCCATGGAAAAGCAGACCCCAGTTCTCTGGAGCTGGAGGTGACTATGCTCAGCAGCACAGGCCCAGCGCTGGGCTCAGTTCCACAGGCAGGAGCATGGGGACTCCAGCACAGCCCTGCAGCCCCAGTTTGTCCCTGCTGGGCTCCCAAACACGGCCAGGCTCCTACTCCCACAGCTGCAGGAGCAGGGCAGCGAGCCCCAAGACGAGGATGAGGATGATGAAGGTGATGGCTGCAGCCCACAGGGAAGACCTGTGGCCCTTCAGCGTGGCTGGAGCCTCGGCCGGGACCATGTTGGTGAGGTTCAGCATGTACCCCAGTGTCCAGCCCACATCGGCACCCCCCGCCTGCCCCAGAGAGAGGGGACAGGGTTAGCCCTGCAGGAGAGCCCCTGCTGGCACAGGGCCACCCACCCACTCCTGCTCAGCCCATAGCAGTGCCCCAGCACGGGGGGAGGCAGGGCTCTGCACCACTGCACCCCAGCATGGGGCTGGCTAGCCCCAGCACCCCCACACAGGGTCTGGCTCCCCCCCAGCACCCCAAAACATGGGCTGGCTCCCTCCCAGGACCCCAGCACAGGGGTGGCTCCCCCTCAGCACCCCAATGTGGGGGCTGGCTCTCTTCAGCACCCCCACACAGGGTCTGGCTCTCCCCTGCACCCCAACATTTGGCATGTTCTCCCCCAGCACCCCAACATGGGGCTGGTTCTCCCCCAGGACCACCTCTGCTCCCCCCCACGGGCTGGGAGCAATGCCCACCTTCATCTGGAAGAAGATGTTGTTCCAGCTGGTCTCGTTGAACTTGTAGGCATCGAGGAGGAGTGTGAGGATGTAGTTGGCGTTGGCACAGTATTTTGGCAGTCGCTTGGGATTCTCTTTGGGGTAGCTGGAAGACAGCTGGGGTGGGAATGTTTGGGGGTGAAGGGGAGTTATTGACAGGCACTTTCTGGGCAGAGACAACACCCTGAAATGTGCTGCATGAGCAGCAGTGGCTCCGCAGTCACTAGCACCCAGGAAGAGACTCCTGGGCTGAGCAGTGATTTTGGACCTGTCTCTGCAGGGCAGCTCCTTTAGGGAGGATTTACGCTCCACATGGAAACAGAGGCACGTATTGTAGCTTATTGTAGCCCCTCCTGCCCCAGATTCTCCATCTCAGCCTCTTCAGTAATGGGCTCCTGCTCTCTGCCCCATGGCGGTGCTGGCACATTTCTGGGCTTATCCACCCCCATGTGTTGCCCAGAGGAACTGTGGCTGCTCCATCCCTGGAAGTGCTCAAGGCCAGACTGGATGGGCTTAGAGCAACCTGCTCTAGTGGAAGGTGTCCATGCCCATGTCAGGGATGTGGAACAAGATGGGCCTTCCCAACCGAACCAATCTGGAATTCTATGATTCCAAAATTTTACTTGTTGGTAAAATTGCTGGGTCTGCTCTCACCATCCTCCCTGGCATCCCCATCCCCACCTCCATCCCCACCTCTAACCCCAGCTGCTTGCTGCCCTTGCCTGCCCTAGCTGCCCTTTTCCCAAGGGTGAATGAGCAGGGAGTGGATGCAGGACAGTCCCAGCTCCACACAGAGCTCAGGAGTGGCTCAGAACCAAAGAGCCTTGCCCTGGAGGGGTCCCCACTCCCTCCCCCTACCCCAGGACCCCTTTGCTTCTGAATGTTCCACTGTGCCTCCATCCTGAGGAACGTACATCCTCCCAGCTCCTTGTGCAGAGCCCCTCGATGGCCGCTCTGACCACGGCCAGTGGCTGCCCCTCCGTCAGGTTCAGGAACTTGAAGTTATAGTAGAAGGCAGAGAAAGCCTGCAAGGTGAGAGACAGAAACCCTGGTGAGTCGCAGTGGGGCATCCCTGGCAGCTGCCTGAAGTGGGAGGTGGGGTTTTTCTTCACGGGGTCTGTCCCAGCCCAGGTACTCCCAGGGCATTGCTGTCCCTGTCCCTGTCCCTGTCCCTGTCCCTGTCCATGTACTTGTCCCTGTCCCTGTCCCTGTCCCAGTCCCAGCAGATGATGGGCTGGGGGCTGGTGCCTGCTGGTGACAGCCACACAGCCAGCACAGCCAGAGCCTTGCCTGAAGCTGCTGTCTCAATTCCTATTGAAAAGTCCTGTTTTATTAACAAATCCATGGCAGTGTCCAAGGCCGGGCTGGACAGGGCTCGGAGCAGCCTGGGACAGTGGGAGCTGTCCCTGCCCATGGCAGGGGATGGCTCAAACTGAGCTCGAAGGTCCCTTCCGACCCAAACCACTCTGGGATTCGGTGATTCTCAGCACGGTCCCGTGTGGAGGTTTGGCTGGAAAACCATCCAGCAGCAATGCCCAGCGTGCCCTCGGGCAGTGCTGCTTGGGGCGCCTCTTGCCCCCGTTCCCTGCAGGGAGGTGACAGTGCCGTGGGGCAGCGGGGACAGCCCGGCCCCGGGGGAGGACAGCCTTTCCGAGGTGGGAGCACGGGTTTGCCTTACAATGAACTGCCCCCGGAGCGGGGGCTGGGAAACGCCGTCAAAGGGGCACTCCTGGCTCTGGGCACACGCCGAGAAGTTGAAGAGCTTCCTGAGCGCTGCCAGGCAGGCGCTGGCGCTGCCCCTGCCCTCCAGGGTGACCGTGCTGTCGCCCAGGGGCAGGCGCGGGTCGCTGCCGTCCGTGCAGGGGCTGGCGCGGAAGGAGGACAGCGACACGGACTCCTTGTAGCCCTCTGGGTAGCAGGGGTGGTGGACTCGTGTGCTGGGCGACGACTCCTGGGGACGGCAAAATGCAGCTGCAGCTCCTCCGGAGCCTCGTGGGCACACCCAGCATCTCCCCAAAGCCCAGGCACCGGCATTCCCAACTCCTCTGCAGGGAAAGACCCTCCTGCCCTTCAGTCCTGGTCTGGCTGGCTGTCCCAGCATGAGCCCAGCACTAATTATCACCCTGCTTTATCTCATTCCCTCTCCCACAGAGGCAGACCAGTTTCAAGGACCCAGCGTGTCACTGCCCTGGCCAGAAGGATCATTTTTGGGGACATATAAAGCCCTTTAGAGAGGCTAAAACTAAAAGCAGCTAAAACCTCTAAAACCAGCTCTAGCTCTGGTTCTAGCTGCAACTCTATCCAGGGGCACCATATGGGACTTTCCTGGCCATGGAGCAAGGGCAAACCCTTCTGGCTCACCAAGGCTGCTCTGCGGGCCAGGTGCAGCTCCATGAAGATGCTCTTCACCTCTGACCTTCCAAAAAATGGCCTGAGAAAGGTCTTCAGCTCGTGTTTCTCAGGTTGTGAAGTCACAGAGTAGCTGAGGTTCAGGGGAGCTGGAGGTTCCCTGTGACAACCCTCTTGTTAAGGTATGACCAGCTAGAGCAGGCTGCTCAGAGCCTCGACCCATCAAGTTCTGAGGATCTCCAGAGACGATGACTACAGCATTTCTGGCTCTTACTCCAAAATCTGATCATTCCTATTGGGGAAAACTTTTCCCCTTTTTCTGTTTGGAAACTCAGATGTTCCATCTTGTGCCCCTTGCCTCTTGCCCTGGCACTTTGCACCTCTGAGAGGAGCCTGGTCCTGCACTTCTGCACACCCCAGGTGAAGACAGAAGATCCCAAACTTCCCCTTTTGACATTTTTCCTATCCCTGGAAGCGTCTAAGGCCAAGCTGGGTGGGGCTTGGAGCAGCCTGGGATTGTGGAAGGTGTTCCTGCCCATGGCAGGGGGCAGACCAGGATGATCTTTAAAGTCCCTTCCAACCCAAACCAGTTTGGGATTCTACTATACCCCTGCTCCTCTCCACATCTGCCCTGCCATGCTCCAAGGAGTCTGTCCTTGCTCTCGGTCTTTGCTGATGCCTCTCCAGAAGAGCCATGCCTGTCCTTACTTTATGCATTAACAGGTGTGTGGTTGGCATCATGACACTAAAGGTCCCAGCAACCTCTCACCACAATTAATTCCTTCGCCAGCCGCTTCAGCATCTCGTCCTGCCCGTAGCAGAGGTAGCTGTGAGTGTAGATGTTGTAGCTGTACCCGTACAGGGAGAACTCAGAGGCTCCATTCTGGTTCAGTACCGAACCTTCGGGCATAAAGGTGATTTGGGTGGATGCTCCTCCAAGATCCAGTGCCCCAAAAATGTTGGCTGCCTCCGGATGAAGCCACGTGTGCGCTTTGGGAGAGTACTGCCAACGAGAGCCAGGAGAGGAAGAGGAGTAGCACAGAATGCCCTGAGCAGAATTCTCATCCCATTGAAGACAACAAGATTTTGTTATTAAATTCAATGGGCCTCTGCATGTGAGCCCCCCACCCTCCCTGCCCAGGCAGCTGGGATACTGATCAGAGATGGAACTCTCAGGTGGTCAGTAGGTGCTGACATTCTCAGTGGTCAGTAGGTGCTGACACTCTCAGGGGGTCAGTAGGTGCTCACACTCTCAGTGGTCAGTGGGTGCTGACACTCTCAGTGGTCAGTAGGAGCCCAGGTGCTGTGGGCTCACCTGGCTCTGAGTCACCACCCCCAGGCCCAAGTGCTGGTGGCAACTGGCTCGGGGACTCGCCAAGGAGGCTGCAGGGGTCCTGGTGCAGGAGGAAGGATTTCTATCCAAGAATCCTCCAACAGCCCCCACAGGACCCTGACACTGCCAGCACCACACTGAGCTGTGGCAGGGCTGGAACAGAGCTTTGGTCTGAGCTGCCTTCAGCTGGAGCCTCCCAGCACTGCAGGGAGATGGAGCTTCCCAGGCAGGGACACAGAGCCCAGCTGTGCTGCACTGACCTCCCAGTCCCTGAGAGACCCTCTGTCCACTCAGTGTGGAGATTGCCCTGAGCTCTCAGCAGCCACTCTCATTCCTGAACTCTCCCTCCTCACTCACTGTGGGCAAACCAGAGGATGTCTCCTTCCCTTGGATCATTCCCAAAAGCCACTAACCCTGACCTCTCCTGTGCTGAGAAAGCTTGAGGAAAATCAGAAAAGATGTATTAGCAAAGGAGTGGGTGTTCCACCCTTCTCCAACCTTGGTGAAGGAGTCCAGCAGGTAGTTGATAGTGATCCAGCCATAGGCCCCCTCTTCCTCTCCTGTAAGGATCCGAGCCCCTTTGAAAGCCACAGGGTACTGCTGCATGGTTTTAACAACCTCAGCCAGGATTTGCTCTGTTGCTGAGCTGTTCTGTTCTCTAGGAAGGATGCAAAGGACAGGACACATACCCAACTACAACAAAGGAAACACAAACTGGTTCTCTCCCAGTTCCACATCCTCCCAGTTTTTGCAACAAGCAGTCTGAAAGGGTTTCCTGCCACATGGCTTGTCTGAGCTGCTCATCCGAGGTGAATCCCAGCTGCCTCGGCTTGGCATTGCCATACCAGGAGCAACAGCAACCCCTCCCCTGCAGTGCAGCTTGATTCCAGTCACCCAGTGCCTTCCCAGGCCACCCTTCTCTGCCTGAGTGCTGGAGGCTGGAGTGGGTTGTGCTGCAAGACCTGGGTTTGAGCATTACCCCTGGCTGTGCCCAAGACAGGGCTGGTTGCTGACCTCCAGGGTTTTCAGGAAGGTTCCAGGCTGGGTTCAGCCCTCCCAGGGGGGAAGATGTCTCAGGGCTGTTCTTGCTCTCTGAAGTGAGCAGCCTTCAGGCTATGGCCCAGCTCCTTGCCAGGTCTGATTGCCAGGGCACAGAAATAACGTGAGCTATCTGCAGCCATAAAACCAAGAGCCATGAAATGAAGGCAGCCATTTGAAGAGAGCTAACATGGGCTGGTGAAAGGTGAGGACAGAACCTGCAGCACTTTGTTGCCTCCTCCCTCTGCCCCACCAGCACCCATCCACCTGGGCAGGTGGCACATCTGCTGGCACCCCAACCCCCTTGTTATTAATGAATAATGAAGAGCAAACAAAAACTGTGAAAAACATATCTTGCTTAGAACTGGGACATCCTGGGATGCCCCAACAGACATTGCTCAGGACAGTTCAGCCCTCCCTGTGTCCCCACCAAGCTGCCTTTCCCCCCTCTCCTCCCTGCCCAGTTGTTTGCTCATGGCAGCATGGGAGCTCTGTCACTGCTGCCACCCCCTGCCCCCAGCAGTACCTCAGTAGCCTCATGCCAGCCGTTGCTCCAAGATAAGCTGGGACATCCCTCTGCTTCTCAGCAGGAATAACCTGCAGGGCTTTATCCAAGCACTCCCTGAGGGAATTGCCAGCTTCAGGGGGATTGCTGGCGTAGCTTGATATGCCTTGCCCTGAAAAGAGTCAGGATGGGACTGACTGATAGGAATGGCTTGGGTCAAGGTTGTGGGAACAAGAGGGCACAGGGCAGTGAGGGCTGTCACCTCTTAACAACAAAGGTGCTTTTCCAGGGTCCCCTGGTCCCCTGAGACCTGACTGACTCACACGTCCATTCCTCTCCCGTGTCTCCCTTGCTTTCAGCAATGTCACTATAGGTGACATCTTCTCCAGCCAGGACAGCAGCTGGGAGCACTCCAAGGTGGAGGAACAAAAACTGATTCACCATTGACGTGCTCCAGTCCCCCCAGTGCATGGGCTCCACATGGTGCTGAGGGCTCAGGGACCCCCCAGCCACAGCCACAGCTCCCAGAGGACAGGGCTGTCGAGCCAGGTCACCCAGCCACCACTGGAACAGGGCAGGACAGAGCCCATGGCAGGGGATACTGACCCTGGACATCACAGGACAAGGTCTGGCTGACCACTCCAGTGTTGTTCTCCTTGTCTGAATCCCACTCGTAGACAAACAGAGAGGTGTGGGATGAGCCCGCATCAAACACCATCCCATACTGCAAGGGAAATCAACACAGAATCAAGGTGGAGGAGCAGCAGCCTGGCCCTGGCCCCATTGTGGCCCTGCCAGGGCAGTGGGGCCAGAAGATTCCCCCAAACCCATGTCTGAGGCACAAAACCCTTCAGCTGTGCCGTGGCAGAGCAGAGCTGTGGGCTCAGCCCCCCACAGTGACTAAGGGACTGTCATTCCCTCTCCTGAGGTCTGTGCTGCAATGCCAGCTCACACAAACATTTCCTGTTGTTTCCTCATGCTGTTTTATTTTCTTTCATGGTCACATACTTTTGTGTCTTTTGTGGCCCCACCTTGGAGCCAGCAACTCCCCCATCTCTTGTGCTCCCTGCTAGCCCATGGCAGCACCCAGCCTGGGCAGGGTTGGCAGGGCCTGTCCAGGAGCACTCAGCCACCTGCCTCTGCCCCATAAAGCCTTCCCCCACCAGCCAAAGCCCTGCCAGCCCTCCCCAGCAGGGTGGGATGCCATGCCCAGGGCACGACAGCGGGAGGCACGATGTTTGTGCCATGGTGTGAGGGTAGGGATGGACTGGGGGGAGCTGGCAGGAGCAAAGGGCACACTGAGGTGCCTGGCAGAGCACAGAGAGCAGCTGCCCCAAGGTAATCTCCAAACCTGGCACAGCACAGTGGGGATAAGTTCCAGAGGAGCCTTCCCCTCTGACTTTCTTCTGCCTGCACCTCCAAGTGGGGATATAACACCCACCCTGCTACTGCCAGGCAGGTCCTGACCCCACTGCCCCTCCCAGCCCCAGGGACCAGCTGCTGGCTCGGAGCACCTGCCCAAGGTGACTGGGCTCACCACAGGTGCTCAGGGACCTCCTCTGGACTCACCTTGACCGTGGGTGGCAGCGTCACATCTTCAACCCTGACCAGGCTGAGAACCAGGGCGATGATGGAGAGTGCCACCAGCGCCCCGATGATGGCACTGGTGCAGGATTTCTTCCTGGCCAGCATTATGGGGAAGGCTCCTGAAAACCCAAACACAGGAGAAGTGTGGCTGCACACCTGGGAGCAACGGTGTCAGTGAGAGCTGCAAGGAGACCCGCTCCAAAAGATGACCCTGTCTCAGGCCATGCCACTCACAAACCCTGGCGAATAATCACATCTTTTCCTGGGAAAAGCAGTATTAGGATAAAATACAGGGAGCTGGAGGAAAGAAGGGCTGGTTGCCCCGCAGCCTGGCAGAGCCATGATGGGATCGCAACAATCTCCCAGCTCCCACACCTGAGTCTGGGAGGAGTGAAAGGAGCCCTGTACGGAGCAGAGGAAAGCACAGGGAGCTGCAGAACCCTCACTGAGGCACTGCAGCAGGGCAGGGAGGGTGTGTTTCATGGGCTGGGAAGGGCAGCTCACCTGCCTGCACTCCCGGAGCCCTGCCCCAGCTCTCCAGGCTGTGCCCTGGGGGGTCCCTCGGGGTCCCTCTGTGCTCCTCCAGTGCAGCAAACCCAGCTTGGACTTGCCTTTTATGTCCTCTGGAAGCAGATACTGCTGGAAAATTTTTTCCCCATTATTTTCCCTGAGGGCTCATCAGCCTTTGGTGAAACTCTTGAATATCTGTTCTCCTGTTTGTCTTGCAGGTGTATATTCATGGCCCAGTTTGGCACTGCCCTTATCTTCAGCCAATTTGTTTCTCCTCCTCCTCATTTGAATGGAATCGTATGAAAGACACATCACTGCATTTAACCATTGTCCCTCTGCTTCTCTGAGCTGTCACAGAAATATCTGTGTTCTCATTGCTCTCCCCAGCCTTCACACTCCCATTATAAGCTCTCCACAAGGTCTGTAAGAGATGAGTGCTGTTTGCAATACCCACTGCCCTGCAGTCTAGCAGAGTGCTAGTACCTGACAGTAAATGTCCCTGCAGGGAGGTGGAAGCTCCCATCGGAGGGGAGGATTGCCCTGCCAGGGTCTCAGCTGCCCTGGCTGTGCTTTGCCTCGGGAGAGGCCAAGGCACCGTCATGGCCCCACTGCGACTGTGGCCACCCCTTCCCGGGGTTTGACCCAGCTTTGTGCTGCTCCTGGGGTCCCTGCAGACCCCGAGGAGAGCTGAGGGACTGGGGAGGGCTCGGGAGCTCCTGGGAGCGGAAGGGCAGGGGAGCAGGGCTCTGCTGTCCCCGGGCCTGCGGCCGAGCCGCTTCCTGCGCTGCAGCTCCCTGATAAGAGCGCAGGATCCGCGCGGCCTGGCCGGCTCCGGCTGCCTCAGCCCGGCCCAGCGGGGCCCTGCCGCCAGGGAAAGGCTGCCTGGGGAGCTCTCCTTGCCCTGCCCTGCCCAGCACCTTGCCGGGGCTGCAGAGGTGCTGCGGTGTGCGCTGGCGGTGTCACCGTGTCACCGTGACAGCAGGGGCTCCTCACGGCTCCGGCCGCTCCCTCTTCCTGCTCTCCTAATCTGGGATCTTCCACCCCGTGAGCAAGAGGCAGATTCACGCTCTGAGTCGACATAATGATTTTATTTCACATCCAGGCAGAGATGGGTGCTGGGTAGTGAATCAAAGCTGACACACTCTCCCGTTTTTGCACATTTGAAGCAACAGAAATCAGCATTTCCCTCCAGCTAACCACAGCTAGTGCAGCCATTGGTTTTGCAGCCTCTGCCTCATTTAAAGAGACCCTGCACACTTCATTTACTGCTCCTGCTCTGTGGGGAAGAGGCTTATGTGAGTAAAGGGTGATCACAGCCTGTGGGCAGGGATTTTACAATGCTAATGAGCACTGGAAGCACACAAAGTTGTTCTTTGGCTTTGTAGTTTGATTTATAGTGTCCTCCTGCTCTTCACGTCTCGGGTCATGGCTCTCACGTACTGCTTGATTGGTTATTCTCAAGTCTTTCATAAGTTCTTTTGTTTGTCTTGTACTGCAGTGAATTTTTAACCTTCTCATGGTACTTCATTCCAATAAATCCCCTCTCTGACACTTAGGGAAATATCTGTAGTGCATTTCCCGTAAGTCTCACCTTATTTTTGGAAAAACATAGTTGGCTCTTACCTGAAAGAACAAAATAAACACAAACTCTTTCATTTTGTGATATGAAGGCGTGTCAGTACAGTGTCTGTGGGCTCACGGCACTTCAACATTCCCATGGCAGTGTCCTTTGGGGCGGCTCCTGAAGCCCAGAGGGTGCCACCCTTCCTGCATTCCCACCTCCACACAATACACAACCTTTGGATTCACCTGGATTCGGTGGGAGGGGTGGATGAGTGGCCCTGCTCTGGAAATCCCTGCTGACTGCACAGGGCTGTTCTGAGCACAGGGGGCTCGTCCCAGCCTGGGACAGAGAGGCACCAACCAGCCCTGGTCCCTCGGGGACATGTGGCACTGCCAGTGGCTGTGTGCACCCAGGGCTGACCAAACCTCCAGCTCCAAGCCCAAACACAGGATGAGCAACTCTGCACTTCACTTTTCCTGTCCCTTTTTGTAGTAAAGAAACAGTCCCAGAGGTTTTGTTGAGGGGCTGTTCCCCCTTGCCCGTGCTGGCCCCATGTGCAGCTCTGCCAGGTGATGCTGCCCTGGCTGGGCTCTGGCTGTGAACCACAGGATCACAGGGATCTGTGTGGAAGGACACAGTTCCAGCTGCCTTATCTCAGCTGAGTCAAACAGGCCAATGCTGGGAAGGAAACACTGTGCAGGGCAGCCCTCACTGCCCCTGACCCTCCCCAGCAAGGCCCCAGCAACACCTGGCTCTGTGCTACATCAGCCCTCAATTTCCTTCAGACAGTCCCACCCAAAGGGGTGTCTCTCTAAATTTGGGGTCTCAGGGGTCTGTGGTATCTGAACATGCCAGGACCTGGAAGGGCCATGGGATGCCTGGCCCCAGGAGCAGCTGCTCTCACAGGGTTCCCTCAGGTCCTTGGGCACATCAGCCCCAGCCCTGTTTGGCTTCAGGGCTGTGCTCTGCTGAGAGTGAAATGTGCTATTTACTCCCAAGGGAGAAAGGGACCAAGTGTCTCGTTCTGACTTCTGACAGACAAATCTGCTGTGGGGAAGCGAGGCTAGAGTACACACACACCCCTGTTTGACCTGCCTTTGACATGTGTTTGTTTGCCTGTGGCCCTTGCCGTGGCTCTGGCACCCAGCAGGGAGTTGCCAGGCTGGTGTGGGGACTCGGTGGGGCTCTAGCCCAGCCATCACTGCCAGGCTGACGGCTGTTTGTGAAATGACATCACCTCCACTGCCAACACCTTCCTGGTGCCTTCTGAAAGGAAAGCACCCTGACTCAGGGTTAAAAAAGGGAGTCTCATTTCCCAGAACTCAAGTTTCTGCTCCATGAGGTCACCCCAGTCCCAGGATGGGAGGTGCAGGTGGTGGCTCTGAGCATGTCCCATGTCCCCAGGGGAGCTGCTCCACTCACCCCATGTTCCTTTTCCAGGCATTCCCTGGGTCCTGCTGTGACTTGTTCCAGCAGAGACCAGCTCCAGCCCTCCCTTCCACTCTGATTCCAGCAGGGCTGGTGGAGTTTGGGCCATTTGAAGCTTCCTTGTCCTCAGGTGCTGCCCATGGCAAGTTGCAGGGAGGGATGGAGGTCCCTTGGGCCACCCATTCCCAGATGTGTTTTGGGAGCCCCCTTGCCCCCCTGGAGGCCCAGGCCATGCTGGAGCCCTGTCCTCCTGGTGCACGGAGCCCTTCTGGGCTGTGCCAGGCTGTGCTGTGGGCATGGACACAGCAGCACTGGCTGCTCTCCTGCAGTGCCCCCTGCCCAGTTTCAGATGGCTCTGCAGGGGCTGCTCCGGTCCCTGCAGGAGCTGGGACACACAGAGAAGGGTGGCAGCTGGGGCTGGTACTGCCCCTGTGCCACAGCAATGCTGCTTTGGCACCTTCCCCACCAGCCCAGGGTAGAGAGGGGCTCGGGGCTGGGATCCCAGCAGCCCTGGGAAGCTGCACCTCTCTCCCAGGGTATCCACAGGGCCAGAGCAGCAGGGACTCCCTGCTGCTGGGTTTGGGAAGGGACCCACCAGCCACAGCAGCAAAAATGAGCCCAGAGGTGACATTTTCATCTTTGCCAGGATGTACTGCAGCGTGGGGAAGAGTTCTGGCTGGAACCCGAGGAGTCTCCAGGCCAGGCCAGACACCTTGATCTCACACTGGGCAGGGAATGGGTGTCAGGGTCCCCTCAGGCTGTCAGAGGGGGAGGCTCCAGCAGAATTTCTCCATGGGGGGTGCTCCCAGAAAGAATTCTGTGTGGCCACAGGCTGGTGTGCCAGCACTGCACTGCTGAGTGCCAGGGCAAATGCCACAACAAGGTTTGTTCCAGGACTTGGTGGCCCTGGGCACAGCAGGTGACTCCTCTGCACCAAGCAGGAGTCCTGGGAAGGGACACGGGGTGGTCCTGGCTGCCAGACCACCCCAGCACCCCCACCAGGGCAGCACAGCCAGTGCCACCGTTCAATGTTGTGTCACCCCTGTGTCCCCACACACCCCAGGGAAGCTGCCTTACCTTGGAGGAGCAGAGCTGGGACACGCTGAGCACTGGCTTGTCCCCAAGGCAGCAGCAAAGCACTGGCAGAGCCACTCGCAGGTGAGGCGGGTGGCACACGGGGATGTGGCACACGGGGAGATGTCCCCTGTCCCAGACAGCACCCCAGTGACTGGGGTGGGTGCTGGTTGGGGGACTCGGTGCAGGCAGCCCCAGCAGGGCTGGGCAGCAGCAGAGGGCTCCGTGCTGTGCAGCGAGGCTGAGGGATGTGATCTCCCGGACAGCACCCCAGTGACAGGGCTGGTGCTGGCTGGGGACTCGGTGCAGGCAGCCCCAGCAGGGCTGGGCAGCAGCAGAGGGCTCCGTGCTGTGCAGCGAGGCTGAGGGATGTGATCATCCGTTTGATCTTCCTCAGGGCTGATGAGCCCCTTCCTGAGTTTATTAATTAGCTGGCTGTTGGCAGCTGTGGGCGTGTCCAAAGGCACCGTGGGTCCCCAGGGCCATTCTGTGAGTGTCCCCTCCTGACTCAGAGGCTTTGCTGCCTGTCCTGCTCCTCTCCTGTCCCTCACCTGCTGCGGCTCCAGTCCCCCAGCAGCCACTGTCCCCACACAGCTGCCACCCACAGCCCCCTCCCAGCCCACACCAGTGACCCTGTGGCTGCTGCTGACACCCTTCTGGGACAGCAGGTGACAGAACAGCCCTGGCTGTGCACTCAGGGTGACGGGGGCGTGTGGCACAACCACAGCAAGAGCAGGATGAGCTCACACTGCTGTGAGCCGGGGGTGACAGCAGCAGGCAGCTGCCACCTCCCAGGTGACATGTCCTTGGCTCAGGGGAGCCAGAGAGCTCCAAGGGGAATAACCTGAGCACCTGGAGCAGGTGACAGCAAGCCCTGGGAGAAACAGGAGCATCCCAAGGGGAAACAGGAGCTGTGAGGCAGGTCCAGTGGCACCTCAGGGTGTGCAGGAGTCACAGAACCTCCTGAGCTGGAGGGACCCACGGGAATCATCCAGTGCAGCTCCTGGCCCTGCACAGACACCCCAACAATGCCACCCTGGGCATCCCCGTGACACTGGCCCTCCACACGCTGCTCTGCACTCCCACAGGGAATACTGAGTTCCTCCTGCTCTCTGGGGGCTCTGGGGCAGTGTTGCAGCCCGAGGCTGGGGCTCAGCGAGACCCCCCTTCAGAACCAGCACCTGCCTCCTCACACCCCCATTTCCATGTTTAGGAAATGGAGTGAAACACAGAGGAAAAATCATATTCCTGTTCAAAAATACACACACCAGTGATCTGAACATGACCTCACAAAACCCTGCCAGGGCACTGAAAGTAGGAAGTGCTCAGGGAGGTGAGGGGACAGATGGAAATCCATGAGCCAGCTGCTGGGCAGGGCAGGGCAGGGCAGGGCAGGAGCCTGGGCTGTACTGGGAGATCGACAGCAACCAGCCACCCTCCAGGCAGCAGTCTGAGGTACAACAGCTTTCCAGGAAAAAAGAATTTATAAATAAACCCAATCCTTCAACGCATCTTTATTAGAAAATACAATAACTGTCACGCCCAGCCGCGCTCGCAGCGCAGGCCAAGGCAGGGGCTGAGGGGGCACAGGCAGGGATGTGCAGCTTTTGGAGAGACGTGATGCTCTGCCCTGTCCCGGCCTGTCACCTGCCCTCCGCGGGGACAGCGAGGGCAGCCCCGGGCTCAGTTCACGCGGCAGGCCCGGATCATGAGCAGCTGCAGCAGGATGAAGACGGGCGACATGATGAGCCCGTACCAGAGCTCCCGCGTGTGCTCCACCAGCTTCTGGCACAGCAGCATCTCGAACACGAACTTGAGGCTGAGGATGGTGAGGATCCAGAAGAGCCGCAGCACCGCCAGGCGCTTCTCGCCGTCCTGGAACAGCCGCACGGACACGATGGTGGTGAAGTAGGTGCTGAGCCCGTCGGCGGCGAAGAAGGGCACGAACACGACCCACCAGGAGAGCGCGGCGGCCGCGCCGTCCACCTTGAGCACGAGCAGCACGGAGAAGGCGAGCAGGGCCAGCCCGTGCAGGAACAGCTCGAAGGTGGCGAAGCCGAGCCACTGCACGAGCTCGCGCAGGGAGAACAGCATCGTCCGGCGCTACGGTTACGGCACCGCCACCGGCACCGGTCCCCAGCCCGGCAACGACAGCGACGCCGGCCCCTGACCCGGCACCGGCACCAGGCCAGGCCCGGCCCGGCGGCGCGGGCGGATGGCGTCACGGTGAGAGGCGGTGGACGGATGACGTCAGCAGGCGGGGAGACGATGAGCGGGGAGTCCCGGCGGCTCACCCTCAATGATGACGTCATCGGGAGCCGTCGCGCAGTGGTGACGTCAGAGCCGGCATGGGGCCAGTCCATGGTGAGTCCCGCAGAGCGGCCGGGCCGGGCCCGGGGTGCTGACCTGCCGAGGAGAATGCCCGGGAGCCCCTGCCAGGGCCTGGGGGGGGCTCCGGGAGAGCTGGAGAGGGACTGGGGACAAGGATGGAGGGACAGGACACAGGGAATGTCTCCCACTGCCAGAGGGCAGGGATGGATGGGATATTGGGAATTAGGAATTGTTCCCTGGGAGGGTGGGCAGGCCCTGGCACAGGGTGCCCAGAGCAGCTGTGGCTGCCCCTGGATCCCTGGCAGTGCCCAGGCCAGGCTGGATGGGACAGTGGGAGGTGTCCCTGTCCATGGGAGGGGTGGAATGGGATGGGCTTTAAGGCCCCTTCCAACCCAAACCACTCTGGGATTCTGTGATTTTATTTTTTATTATTATGACTTAATTTATTATTCCGTGGGCACATGGTGTGGCAGCTGTTTGCAGCTCGGACAGCTCCCAGGCTGGCCCTTGCTCTGTCAGTCTGACCGTGGGGTCTCACGTGTGTGTCGCTGAGGCTCGAGGCTCTGCCAGCCCCCGCAGCTGAGGCAGCATTCCCAGGCACGCAGGAACCTTACACCAGGACTGGGGAACACCCAGGGCTGTGCTCACCCTGTGCTGCTGAGGGCACAGCAGTGTCCCTGCTTATTCTTGGGCTGGGACAGGGGATCACTCCCTCAGTGCTGCACAGAGAGCCTGGACTGCCTCTGCTGAATGCCAGCTGTCCATCCCTGTGCTGGCACGGTGCTCTGTCAGCCCCTGGGGCCAGTGCTGCTCAGCCAGGGCAGCCCCAGCCCTGCTCCCCTCCTGTCCCTTCCCTCGGGTGACTTGCCTGCTGTTGTGTCCTGCAGATGGCAGAACGGGGACTCCTGGTGCTCTTTGGCAGCCAGACTGGCACGGCTCAGGACGCGGCGGAGCGGGTGGGCAGGGAGGCGCGGCGGCGGCGCTTGCGGTGCCGCGTGGAGGCCCTGGACAGCTGTGACCTGGTGAGTGGGGGGCACGGGGCAGCCTGCTCTGCTCCAGCCCCCCGGGCACCTCCCGCAGGACCACAGAACTTGGCACAAGCTGAGCTGGAAGCAGCCCCTCAGGATAATCCAGTCAGCTCCTGGCGCTGCCCAGGACACCCCAGCAGTCCCACCCTGTCCCTGAGAGCGTTCTCCAAACACTCTTGGTGCTGGTTGCTCCAAGCCCTGTCCAACCTGGCCCTGGATACTTCCAGGGATCCAGGGGCACCCACAGTTTCTCTGGGTAACCTGTGCCAGAATCTCATCACCCTCACAGGGAAGAATTTCTTCCTAATATCTGACCTAAACCTGCCCTCCTTCAGCTTATGGACATTCCCCCTTGTCTTGTCTCTCCATCCCTTGTCCCCAGTCCCTCTCCATCTCTCCTGGAGCCCCTTTAGGCCTTGGAAGAAGCTCTGAGCTCTCCCTGGAGCCTTCTCTTCCCCAGGCTGAACACTCCCAGCTGTCCCAGCCTGGCTCCAGAGCAGTTTGGAGCTTGACCTGACTGTGCCATGTTTGTACCCACAGGCCAACCTCATCCATGAGCCCTTGGTGGTGTTTGTGTGTGCAACCACTGGCCAGGGAGACCCACCTGACAACATGAAGGTAGGACGTGCTCCTGTCCTGTTGCTTTCATCTGCCTGCTGCAGAGCTCTCTCTCCTGAAACAGCTCCAGCAGGGGTTGCTCTTGCTGGGGGAGCTTTGCAGCAGCATCAGTCACATCCCAGGAAACAGGAGCAGGGGCACTTCTGCAGAAAGCTGTGCTCCCCACTGCTGGCATGCAGATGGGGGTGGGCAGGGATGCAGGCACAGGCAGGCAGGGGGGTGCCTGGCAGCAGCAGGACTGGCTGCATGTGTCTGTCCCAGGTGTTCTGGCGGTTCCTGTTCCGGAAGAGCCTCCCTGCCAACTCCCTGTGCCAGCTGGACTACGCCGTGCTGGGCCTCGGGGACTCCTCCTACCCCAAGTAAGCAGCCCCTGGGCAGCTCTTCCTCACAGCTCTGACTGCAGTAGAGAGCAGAGTGGCTGGAGAGCTGGGGGAGTAAGGGGAGACAGAGTCTGATTCTGGAGCAGCAGCTCAAGCAAAATGTAACTCCCCCCAGCCTTAAAAATCCTTGCCCTACTGTGTCCCTCCTCACCCCCAGGAATTAGGCTTCTGCCCTTTTCTTTCCTCCCAGCCTCACCAAGGATGCTTTGCTGCAGTGGGTCAGACATCATATGTCAGTCTTTTATCACAGCTGTGGGCCAAGGCAACAGGAGACATCAAACAGAGGTGGCAGCCAGCCATGTTGGTCCCAGGTTTCGCCCAGAAGATTGTTCCTGTGTGCCTCAAAGAGCTCTAGTGGGAGGGATGGGTGTGCCTGAGCTCTGTGGGGCAGTGAGGTGCTGGGGGGAAGGAAATGTTCCCCTTGTCCCATCTTGGGGCTGAGCACAGCCTGTGAGGGCCAGCAAGTGGCACCTAGCTGGTTCTGTGAACTGGCACAGGCTGGGCAGGGCATGGGCCAGCTCACAGTACTGGCTGTGCCTGTGTGCTGCTCTGGTGGCCCTGGCAGTGTGTGCTGGTGCTGTGGCAGTGCCTGCTGTGCTGCTGGAACAGCCCTGCCCTGTGTTGTTCTCTACTCAGGTTTAACTTCATTGCAAAGAAGCTGCACAAACGGCTGCTCCAGCTCGGGGGCAACCCGCTGCTGCCCGTGGCCTTGGGAGATGACCAGCATGACCTGGGGTAAGAGCCCAGAGGAGGGGTGGCAGGGGGGCCCCGGGGTGCCCTGCAGCTCTGTCCTGGGGCTGGTGGCAGGGCTGGGGCTCCTCCTGCAGCTCTCTGGGAATGTGCTGATCTCTGCTCACTACCCTCCTGTGCCAGGACCTGGGCCACCTGCTTCTCCAGGGTGTCCTGTGACCCCCAGAACATGGCCATGACCCCTGTTCAGAGCAGGGCATGGCTCTGTCACACAGCCCTGTGCCTGCAGGCATTGCAGCAGCCTCAGCTGTGCTCGCCTGGCACGAGGCAAAGGCTGGGGATGGCTCAGGGACACAGTGACCCCAGGGACTCAGTGCTGCTCAGGGGCTGGAGATCCTGTCCAGGTGTCAATGGTTGGGCCCTGGAGAGTGACTGAATGTGTAGAGTTTGTGAGATATGTTTCTTCCCAGACCTGAAATTGGAAGGGAATGGTCTGGGGTGACTGGGAATGGTTGTTGGGCATGTGCAGGGGTAGCAGGGCTCACCCCTGAAGGGATGATGTAGCTGCAGCCTCAATTTCCCACTTGCAGGCCAGATGCAGTGGTTGACCCCTGGCTCATGGCTTTGTGGGACAAGATCCTTGCCTTGTATCCTCTCCCTCCTGGCTTTGAGATCATCAGTCCCGACGTGTGGTGAGTGCAGGGGGTGAGCAGGGACTGCTGGGGCTGGCTGGGGTGAAAGGCTCTGCTTCCTTGGCTGTTCTCCAGAGTGGAGATGTGCTCTGCTTGGAGCAGGAACACTCCCCACACAGCTTCTGGTGTCCCCAGTGTCCCTTGTGCTTTGGTCACAGGTGGCCCATCTCTCTCTGGATGGGTGTCCCCTTTTCCCCTGGGGGGTGTGACAGCTGCCCCAGCTGGGTTCTGCCTGTCCTGCTGTCCTGATGTGTCTCTGGCCCTGGCAGAGTGTGTGTGCCCAGCCAGCCTCCCCTTGCATGCTCTGGAGCCTTTGGGATCTCCTCTTGGTGATCTCCTTACACAGGCCAGCTCCAGGGGACGGGGATAATGGCTGGTGGTACAGTGGGACACTCCAGGCCTCTCCCTGTCTCTCATCTTGCAGAGGAGCTGTGGCATGGAGGTAACCCTGCTGCATTGCATTGCTCTCCTCCCCACAGCCTGCCCCCCAAATACACCCTGCACTACCTGCCTGAGGACTCCCCACACCCCGAGAGTGACCTGCTCCAGCCAGCAGCCCCCCAGGCTGCTCCCTGTGAGCTGCACCCCTTCGCTGCCCGCGTGGTGTTCAACCAGAGGGTCACGGCACCGTCCCACTTCCAGGATGTCCGGCTCCTCGAGTTTGACATCGCGGGCTCAGGGATCACGTGAGCATTTTCCTGATCCCCCCTAGCTCAGTCATGTGGGACCAGGTGTCCTGGAGCCTGCCCTCCTCTTCTGTCACCTTTCTTCACTGATGTCTGAGGCTGCAGTCTTGTGGTCATGGTCCCTGCTGCAAGTCCCCATCCATGGGGTGGGGTCCTGCCCATGGGCCAGCTTCCTTTGCCTGTCAGAGCAGTTGGTGGCACTTGGAATTTGCCTCCCCTGGAGTGGGTGCTGGTCGGGGTGCCGTGCTGTGCCTGTGGCTCTGCCCTGTGGCTGTGCTTGGCAGCTCCCCCTGCATCCCCAGGTTCAGTGCGGGGGATGTGGTGATGATCCAGCCCCAGAACTGCCCTGAAGATGTGCAGCAGTTCTGCCAGCTGCTGCGCCTGGAGCCACACAGACGCTTTGTGCTGGAGCCCACGGAGCCTGGTAGGTCCTGCCTGCTGCTCCTTCCCCGTCCTGCTGAGACAAGGCATCCCCTGAGCTCTGGCCCAGCCTGGAGCTCTGCTCTTCCTTTGCTGTAGACCTAGTTGGGAGTGCTGGATGGACACAGGACACCTGCCTGTCCTTCCCTCCAGTGCTGTGTGTGCATCCTATGCAGGGCCAGTGTGACTGGAGGAATCCAGCAGTGCCAGGCTCCACCTGAGCCCTGTGCCTTGGCAGCTCCAGCACAGACTGGGGAGGATCCTGCAGCCTCCTCAGCCCCAGGCCCAAACTGGGAATCTTGTGCTTCCTTGCGTGGGGGGTGCAGGTCTCCCCACTCTGCCTGTGCCCCAGG